TGCAGTTTTATTTCCTGGCTTTCAGTTCTGTTCCGTTGATCCCCTGTGTCTGTTTTTGTACCAGTACTATGCCATTTGATAACTACGGCTTTGTAGTACATTTTGAAGTCAGGGACTCTGATACCTCCAGCTTTGTTCTTTTTTCTCAGTATTGCTGTAACAGTTTGGGGTCTTTGGTTGCCTCATATGAGTTTTAGGATTCTTCTATTTCTGTGAAGAATGTCACTGGGATTCTGATTGGGATTGCAATGAATTTGTAGATTGCTTTGGGTAGTATGGACATTTTAACTATGTTTATTCTTCCAGTCCATGTGCATAGAATCTCTTTCCATTTCTATATGTCATTATCTATTTCTTTCAATAATGACTTATAGTTTTCATTGTGTAAGTCCTTCACCTCCTTGGTTAAATTTATTCCTAGGTAGTTTATTCTTTCAGTTGTGATTGTAAATGGAATTGTATTCTTGAATTCTCTTTCTGTAAGTTAGTTATTAGAGTATAGAAACGCAACTGATCTTTGTCAGTTGATTTTGTACCCCGCAATTTTCCTGTAGTTGTTAATTATTTCTAATAGTTTTCCAATGGATTCTTTAGGGTTTTCTTTGTATAAAATCATGTCTGCAAACAGCGAGAATTTCACTTCTTCTCTCCCTATTTGGATTCCTTTTTTTCCTTTCTCTTGCCTAACTGCTCTGGCCAAAACCTTCAGTACTATGTTGAATAAGTGTGATGATAGTGGGCATCCTTGTCTTGTTCCTGTTCTCAGAGGGATGGCGTTCAGTTTTTCCCCATTGAGTATGATGCTGGCAGTGGGTTTGTCATATGTGGCCTTTATTATGTTGAGGTAATTTCCTGCTATCCCCATTTTGTTAAGAGTTTTTGTCATAAATGACTGTTGAATCTTGTCACATGCTTTCTCTGCATCTATTGAGATGATCATGTGGTTTTATTCCTCATCTTGTTAATGTGGTGTATCTCATTGATTGATTTGTGGATGTTGAACCATCCCTGTGTCCCTGGTATAAATCCCACTTGATCATGATGTATGATCTTTTTGATGTATTGCTGTATTTGAGTTGCCAATATTTTGTTGAGGATTTTTGCATCTATCTTCATCAGCAATATTGTCCCATAGTTTTCTTTTTTTGTATTATCCTTGTTGGGCTTTGGTATCAGGATGATGTTGGCCTCATAGAATGTGTTAGGAAGTGTTCTATCTTCCCTAATTTTTTGGAATAGTTTGAAAAGGATAGGTATTAAATCCTCTCTGAAAGTTTGGTAGAATTCTCCAGGGAAGCTGTCTGGTCCTGGGCTTTTATTCTTTGGGATGCTTTTGATTACTGTTTCAATCTCTTTACTTGTGATTGGTCTATTCAGGTTATCTGTCTCTTGTTGATTCAGCTTTAGGACGTTGTAAGAGTCTAAGAATTTATCCATTTCCTCTAGATTGTCCATCTTCTTGGCATATAGTTTTTCGTAGTAGTCTCTTATAATATCCATTGTATTTCTATGGTATCTGTTGTTATTTCTCCTCTTTCATTTCTAATTTTATTTATCTGAGCTTTCTCTCTTTTTTTCTTTGTAAGTCTGGCTAGGGGTTTATCAATTTTATTTATCTTCTCAAAGAACCAGCTCTTTGTTTCTTTATCCTTTCTGCTGTCTTTTCTGTTTCAATAGTGTTTATTTCTGCTCCAATTTTTATTGTTTTTCTTCTGCTGCTGACTTTGGGCTTTGTTTGTTCTTCTTTTTCTAATTCAGTTAGGTGTAGTTTGAGATTGCTTATTTCAGATTTTTCTTGTTTGTTAAGGTGAGCCTGTATTGCGATGAATTTCCCTCTTAATATAACTTTTGCTGCATCCCATATGAGTTGGTATGGTATGTTTTCTTTTTCATTTGTCTCCAGACTTGTTTTGATTTCTCCTTTAATTTCTTCAATCATCCATTGCTTGCTCAATAGCATGTTGTTTAGTCTCCACGTGTTTGTCCCTTTCTCAGCTTTTTTCTTGTAATTAATTTCTAGCTTTATAGCATTGAGATTGGAAAAGATGCTGGTTATTATTTCAATCTTCTTAAATTTCTCGAGGCTTGCCTTGTTTCCCAACGTATGACCTGTCCTTGAGAATGTCACGTGCACACGTGAGAAGAATGTAAGTGTTATGTCTTCTTGGTAGTGTCTCTTTGATCATTATATACTTCCCCTCTTTGTCTCTCTTTACCTGCCTTCTCTTGAAGTCTACTTTGTCTGATATAAGTATTGGAATGCCTGCTTTGTTTTGTTTGCCATTAGCTTGGAGTACAGTCTTCCATCCCTTCACTCTGAGCCTCTGTTTGTCATTGGAGCTGAGATGTGTTTCCTGGAGGCAGCATATTTTTGGGTCTTGTTCTTTAATCCATCTCACCATTCTGTGTCTTTTTATTGGAGAATTCACTCCATTTATGTTAAGGGTGATCGTCGATATATGAGGGCTTAATGCTGCCATTTTATCACTCGTTTTCTGGTTCTCATGCATTTCCTTTGTTTCTCCTCCTGTGTATTTTGTTCTATCAATCGAGTTATGTAGTTTTCTATGTTGTGTTTGTTTGTTTTCTCTTTGTTTATTTGTGTCTCTTTTCTGATTTTTTGTTTAGTGGTTACCATGAGGTTTGTATTCAAGACAGTCCATTTTCTGATGACCTCTTATTTTCTTAGACTAGACTAAGCTGATTCAGTCCCTTTCCTTTCCCCTCCTATGTTGTTTTTCCTATATCTTATTCCGTCTTCTGTTGTGAGTTTAAAATGACAAGATTATCTTTGTTTTTGGTGTTTTCCTTTCTTTTGTCTTTAATGCTATACTTGAGTATTTGCTATCCTGCTCTGATTCTGTCTACCTATCTCCTTACTCCATGCTTCATAACCCCTTTCTCCCGTTTTTCTTTTTTCAGGTGTGAGGGCCTTCCTGAGGATCTCTTGGGGTGGGGACGGGGGGGAGGGGAGGTCTGTGGCTACAAACTCCCTTAGCTTATGTTTGTCTGGGAAAGTTTTTATTTCTCCATCATGTCTGAAGGATATTTTCACTGGATAGAGTATTCTTGGCTGAAAGATTTATCCTTCAAAGATTTGAGTGTCATTTGAGTCTCTCCTAGCCTGTAACGTTTCTGCAGAGAAATCCACTGAAAGTCTGATAGGGGTTCCCTTGTAAATTGTTTTCTTCTGCCTTGCTGCCCTTAGTATTCTTTGTCGTTCACTTTTGCCAGTTTCACTACTATATGCCTTGCAGTAGGTCGTTTTACATTGACATATTTAGGAGATCTGGTAGCTTCTTCCACATGGATTTCCATCATCTTCCTTAGGTTTGGGAAGTTCTCTGCTATTATTTCTTTGAAAAGCTTTCTGCTCTATTCTCCTTCTCTTCTTCTTGAATACCTATGATTTTTATGTTGCATTTCCTAATTGAGTCAGACATTTCTCAGAGACTTTCTTTTTAGTCTTAGTTCTCTCCTCTCTGTGGAGCATTTCAACATGTCTGTCTTCAGTTGTGCTGATACACTCCTCTATGGTGTCTGCTCGAGCGTTAAAGGAATCCGTATTTTGCTTTATTTCTTCCATTGTGTCTTTCATCTCTAATACTTCTGATTGATTCTTCTTTATAGTTTCCAACTCTTTTGTGAAATAGCTCTTTAACTTGTTGAATTGTTTCTCTACATTCCCTTTTAACTCATTGACTTTTTTTAATAATAGCTATTTTGAATTCTTTGTCATTTAAGTTACATATTTCTGTGTTCTCAGGACTGATTTCTGGATACTTGTCATTTTCTCTCTGGTCTGGAGAACTAATGTAATGTTGGATATTGCTAGTCTCTGGTTTTTGACATCGTGGTGTTACTTGGTCATAGTTCCTGCCTGTTGCCACTGGGTCGGGGTCAAGAGCCGCTGTTCTCAGTCTTCTGCCTTCAGCCTAGATCTGAGGCACTGGAGCTGTGCTGGGTGGATGGGGGTAGGGGCACTTTCTCCCATTTGTTCTTGGGGTTTTCTCCCTCTCCTGTCCTGGGGTGTTGGCTTCATAAGGTCACTCCCTGCAAAAGCTTTCACCCTGGTAGAGGGCTTTCCTCTAGGCTGGAAGGGCCCTCAGGGATTCTTGATGTTCCCGTGAATGAATGTCCCCTACCCCGTTCCCTCCTTCTGAGAGGCCGCCCGTGGTCCTAGATCGCAGTCTTTAGGGGATGGAGTGAAGTTTTCCCTTACCCCATTCCACCTCCTCCAAGGTGGGCTCAGCCTCTCCATCCTCTGTTGTATGGCTGCGTGGGTCTCTCAGATGTTTTTTGTGTTGTGTTTGGATGTCCTCTGTTGGGGTATGAATGTCTTTTTCGTTGTATGGTGGAGGGGAGAGATTACTGGGGAAGCTCACTCTACCATGATGCTGACGTCACTCTCTCTTTTTTTTTTAACCTATTGTAGTACCATTAAGTTACAAATTCTTTGAAGCGGTAGCCTCTTGTGCTTACGATGGTTCTCAGATTTTCTATTTTAAAAATTGAATATTGCCAACCTAGCTCTGGCCCGGTGGTGTAGTGGTTAAGTTCACACACTTCATTTCAGCAGCTCAGGGTTTGTGAGTTTGGATCCCAGGTGCAGACCTACACACCGCTTGTGAAGCCATGCTTTGGTGGCGTCCCACATACAAAATAGAGGAAGATGGGAATAGATGTTAACTCAGGGACAGTCTTCCTCAAGCGAAAAGAGGAAGATTGGCAGCAGATGTTAGCTCAGGGACAATCTTCCTCACCAAAAGAAACAAAAAAAGGTTGTCAACCTATCTTGTTATTTTTAAAAGGTAGTTTGAACATTAACAGAACCCATATATATGATAATGACAGAAATCTTTTTCACTCATTTTTATATTTAGAAACATCCTATTTTACTTCATAGGAGAAAGCTATGCACTGTTGTTATAAAATTCGTTGAGGTGACACATGTTAGTTGTACTTACTATATGGTAATGATGAATTTTGTATATTCTCAGGTCTGGAGAAAATGATGTGGAATACAACAACATGGAATTGGAAGAAGGAGAACTTATGGAAGATGCAGCTGCTTCAGGACCTCTAGGTACAGAGGCCACACCCCACAAGTCTGTCCTTTCTTTGCTCTTGTCTGACTGTTACCATATGTTAATATGTGGCACCCTCTGCTTTACATGGCTCATGGTGTTAGAAGTATACTGTATTTTATATATGAATTTCAGAGTGTATTAATAATGGTAGTTAAAGCAGTAATAACAGCTGACATTTTTTAAGTGTTTTTATGTACTGTGCAAAAACCAGGCACGGTGCAAAAGCACTTTTTATGTGTACCTTATCTCTTTACTTATAAAATTCTGTGAGGTAGATTTTGGTATTATCTACTTTTTATAGCTATAGAAACTAACTTGTAGAGAAATTAAGTAACCTGCTGTCTTTTCATAATTTAGTAGATGAAAGAGAGGAGTTAGAGTTCCAGATTTGTCTGAATTCAAACAAGTCATAGTTTTATCTAGTATTGTATACGGTGTTTTTATGATATATGTCTTGTTTGTATAACAATTTGACTGTGGGATAATCTGAATAGAATCACTGAATCTTTGACTTAGGACGGACCTTTTCAGTCCTCATTTTCTGCATGAAAACAACTCAGATTTAGTTGCCTGGATCACATAGGTAGCTGCTGGGACACCCAGGCTGGAACCCCACATCGTCAACTTCTTGAACTCAGTTGTCTGCCAAACCAGACTGCTACTCCTGGGAAGAACTGTCTTAGATTGTAGGTGTCTCTTTTCTGTTCTTGGACCTGTTTTAAGCACACAAATCTTATCTTGGCGAAAGCAATTTTAAGCTAGTTTTGTACTCCTTCTCCTTTACCAATGTTGCCCTTGGTATGAACACTGACGTATTCTAGAGCATACTTGGATAACTAAAGACCTGTTAAATACTAGTCCTCAGCGTTTCAGCTTTCGCCTATGCTCTGTACTGTTCCTGCTTCTCACTATATTCCTAGGTGGTCTTAATCACACCTGTATTTCGTTTCTATCTATATGCTCATTACTCTCCAACTTCTATCTTTAGCCTTTATTTTTTTTCACGGTTTCCAGACTCATGTAGCAGTTTGTTTTTGATGTCTCAGACTTAACATCTCCCAAACAGAAATCATTATTTTTCAGTCTGCCAGTGTGCCTGTCAGTTAAGCCACTATCTTACTGATTGATAGTGCTATATATTCTCCACCATTTCCTCTACCTTTGATATGTTACCAAAATCTGTTGATTCTATCTCCTAAATAGTGCTTGAGTTCATTTGTTAATCCCCGTGCCTTTGCTCTTCCTAGTCTAGGCCGCAGTCTTTCATCTGGGTTCCGTGTATCTGTTATTGCTCCCCTCCATTCTATTTCCCATGGCATAAGTTCAGAATGAGTGTTATTTTTCCTTCAAATTAATATCTGATCATGTCACTTCTCTACTTAAAACCCTTTCTTGAGTTCCATTTACTTACAGGATAAAATCCAAACTCATTAATATGGTACATGAGGCCCTTCATGTGCTGGCTCCTGTTCATTTCTTTAGTCTTACCTCTCTCTCACTCCCCTGCATCATTTTTCAGCCTGGGGGGACTTCTTTCAACCTCTCTAAAGTGCCTTGGTATTTCTCACCTCTTTGCTTACCAACAGGTTGTTATTGTCTCCTCATCGTGGGCATAGTCAACCTGTATGTCGTCTTCATTTTAACTTGCATTTTATTTCTTCCTGGAACCCGTACTAGATTGTTTGCCCTGGGCATCTTTTTCTGTTCTCTCAGATTAACCTATTTAGAACATATATTAAACATTATTATAATTGCTTATTTAGCTGCCCATTTTCCCTTTCACTGCTGAGCTCTATGAAGCCAAGATACTGTGCATCTTAATTTTGTATCCCTAGCACATAACACAGTCTGGTAAGGGGTCATTTAATATTTTTCAGATAAATGTTTGAGTGAATACACTTTATTACTAAGTGTTGAATGTAATTTTCAAGGCTTAAAATAGTATAGAAAACTTCAGGGGCTGCCTTCATATAAAATGGAAGATGAGTGGACTGAGTCAAGGTTACTGAATATTTTTCAGCTTTGTGGAGTTTTTTTCATAGTTAAAACTATGATTTCCTCTCTTAAACTGTGTTGTAGGAAAATTCTTGTATATAACGTTTGGCACACTAAATAAACAAGGTTATATTTTTCAATTAATTTATTCATTCATTCACCAAAAGTTTACTGAGCACTCAGTTGGAACTGGGTACTGTTTTACCGTCTGGAGCTACAATATGGAATAAAAAGACGTCCCTCTTCTCATGCAGCTTATGTTTTGAAATTCTAAAATTATAATTTATTCATTTAATAAGTATATTTTGAGGACCTATGGTAATTCAGACACTGAATTCTAGGTGCTAAGGATACAATAGTGAATCAAACACAGTTAATTTTTATTATGTGCTTTTGAAAATTTTATGTATTTGGCAGATACTTGTTGAGTAAGTCTTCCCTATGTCAAGGTTTCTGGAGAATACAATAAAAAAGATTTATTCTTTTTTTTTTTAAATTGCCCCTAAGCTAACATCTATTGCCTGTTGCTAATATCCTCCTCCCCCTCATCAAAAACAAGGAAAGACAGAAACTGTCACAGACCAGTTTCACAAACCCACAGAACCTAGGGAGAAACAACCAGCTAGATGTAATTTGACATCCTGAGTAGGACCCTGGAACACAAGAAAGACTTCAGGGAAAAATGAATGAAATCCAAGTATAGTATGGAATTTGGTCTATGATAACATTAATATTGGTTCATTAGTTGTGATTAATGTACTATGGTAATGAAAGAAGTTAACAGTGGGGAAACTGAATATGAGATTTACATGAAAGCTCTGTATTACCTTTCTGCTTTTTCTATAAGACTAAAACAATTCTAAAATAAAAAAATTTTAATATATAAAGCAGTGAAAGAAACTGGATTAGAGGTGAGATGGGGCTGAGTGTGGAATGCGTTATTGTTATATGATAATTATGGAAGGTCCATTTCAAGCCTATTGTGGTTAATATTTCAGAACCACACAGTCGTCTAAAGAATTACGTCAAGATGTCCATTAAACAGGAGAAAATTTTTCTTGTACAGAAGCTAGATATAAAGAAAAATAGTGTTAATTTCCTTTTATATGCATATTAAATAAGGATATAGCTTGAAACAAGAAATATTTAGTGACTCAGGTGGCCTCCTTCCCATAAGAATTGCTTTTAGTTTTTTCAGTTATTTTCATTAAGTTGCAAGAGAATTTATGCTTAAGAATATGTGCTGTGGCCCAACCTGGTGGCGTAGTGGTCAAGTTCATGTGCTCCACTTCTGTGGCCCAGGGTTCGTGGGTTGGACTCCTGGGTGCGGACCTACATGCTGCTCATCAGGCCATGCTGTGGTGGTGTCCCACATACAAAAATAGAGGAAGATTGGTACAGATGTTAGCTCAGGGACAATCTTCCTCAAGCAAGAAGAGGGATATTGGCAACAGACGTTAGCTCAGGGACAATCTTCCTCACCAAAAAAAAAAAAAAAAAAAAAGTGCTGAAAAAGGTTGTAAGTAACATTCTAATCTAGAACATTAGCTAGTTGAATCAGCTAAGCAGGAGAAATCTGTTTCCTGTTTGCATACCTTGTGTGATTTTTGAAACATTGTAATAATCTTATTTGAGAACTGAAAGGTTCTGGCAGTGTAACACACTTGTAAAACAAAGTGACATTGTATAAGGTTATCACTCAAAACATTTATTATATATTTCAGATTAAAGGTTACTTGTTCCACAGATGTTTAACGAATGGCCACTGGATATCAGGCATTGTGTTGTTCATTGAGATTATAAAATGAATGAGCATGACTTCTCCCAAATGAGAATCCAGCACTAGTCATTGCAAAACTTTGATTGTAAATATAGAGATACAGAGTGGCACAAAAAATGGAAAGAAAAGCTAATTGGGTATGGGTGAAAGAAGAGTTCAGAAAGGGAGTGATGCTTGATCTTGCTCTTGAAAGATGAGCTAAGAGTTCATTAGGGGAACAGAAATAATGAGAGAAGAGAGCAAAGGCATTCCAGGCAGAAGACGCAGCATTATTCTTTTGGGGAACTTTAAGTGGTTAAGACTTTAGTTTTTATGAGGTCAGGTCAATGTTGGATTGGTGAGTGGCAAGAAGATTAGGTAATGGAAAGTCTTATTTGCCAGACTCAGGAGCTTGGGCTTCATTCTGTGGAACCACGAAAGTTCTTTAAAAAGGAATGTGATCAGATTTGATTACATAGTGGAAGATGAATTAAAGGTGGATGAAACAAGATTAGTTTGAAAACTACCAAGGTGTTCCAGGAGGGGAGATTATGAGGGCCTGAAATAAGGCAGTAACAGTAAGGGTGGAGAAGAAGAAACTTTTTGAAAGATGTTAAATAGTTTGCGTCCACAGGACTTGGAATTTAATTGGATGGATTGCAGTTAATGTAGATGTGAGGATGATTCCTTAAGGTTTCTAGGTTAGGCCGTGCCATTACCTAAGACAGTGAGTCCAGGAGCAGAAGATAATCTATCCAGTTTGATCCATGTTGATTTTGAGAGACCTGTGGGGTACCCATGTGTTGATCTCCAGACTCATATCTATAACGGCTTAGAAGATCTCAGGTGTGCAGTGCGGTCTAGAAATATGTGTAGGATTTTTTTTACAAGCACCATAATTTCTGTTAATTAGAATAAACAAATTAATTTAAAATATCCAAAACACAAGTCCATAGCATATAAAGAACTTCTACAAATCAATAATGAAAAGATAAGACAAGCTCCTAGGATAAAAGGGCAAAAGATTGGAATAAACACTTCACAAAGGAGGCTATCCAGATGGTCAGTACATGTTTTAAAAGGTGCTCAGCCTTTTTCATCAGAGAAATGCAAATTATGATAGGTCCCAGTATGGATCTCTTGAGTTTATTTATTCTACTTGGAGTTTGCTAAGCTGAGCTCCTTGGATGTGTAGATTAATATTTTTCGTCAATATGTGGGAAATTTTCAACCATTTTTCTTTGAATGTTACTTATTTCTTCTATGACTCCTATTTTGTATATCTTGGTACACTTAGTGGTGTCCCACAGGTCTCTGAGACTCTGTTCATTTTTCTTTGTTCTTTTTTCAGGAAATGCCACATAAAAACCACAATAAGATACTGTTGCACATTATAATGGCTAGTATTTTAAAAACTGGCAGTACTCAATGTTGAAAGCATGTGGAGAGATAGAAACTCTCGTATGCTGCTGGTAGGAATGAAAATGGATACCACTGCTTTGGAAAACTGTTGGGCAGTTGTGCTAAAGCTGAGCATACACATATCTATGGCTCCATCAGTTTCAAGAGACATGTGAGGCAGTGTTTGCCAGTAGATTTTTACAAGAATATTTAGAGCAACATCGTTCCTTTTTAGGTGGTTTTTTGTTTTGTTTTTTCTTTTAAGAAATACAAATGTCATTTATAACAAAGTAAAGGATATAAAAAAGTAGAGAAAACTAAAAAGGTAGTTTGGGATTATACTGTGTAGGACCTTGAATGTCATGGTGATGCATACAGGCACTGTATATAATCAAGAACTCAAGTAGATCAGTGTGACATTTTAGTAGGATTAATCCAGCTTGGCTCAGGAAGAGAGGAACCTGTCACTGATCCATTTGCTTTTTCATGAGGTGTTTTATATATAGTTTTTTATGTGAGCTTCAAGAGTAGATATTTGCTTATAATTTTAGTAGCTTTATTCTTAGTAGCAAAAAACTAGAAGCAATCCAAATTCTTTCCCATAGAATAAAGAAAGGAATTAGTTATGTTCGTATACTGGGATGCTGCACAGCAATAATGAAAATGAATAAACTGCTATGACAACAAATAGATGAATCTCATGAACATAATGTTGAGCAAAGAAGCAGAATATGAGTACATACTCTATCATTACATTTATATAAAATTGCAAAACTGATCTATGGTGTTTAACTCAGGATGGGGGTTACCTTTGGGGAGGAAGGTCAGTGAGCAATTTATGAGGCCTTGGGAGATTCTGGGGTGCCAGAACTTTGTAAACATTCATTAGGCTGTATACTTATATATGAGATACATACACCACCCCCCCCCCCCCCCCCCCCCCCCACCCCGAATGCTGGCAGTATTTGCTCTGAGAGAGGAAAAGTGAAATAGATGCTACAGTCTTTGATGCTTGTGGATACATATGATAGTAGAAAGGATGGAAACATAGAAGGGAGAGAATAGCCAAAGGGCATAAACCACAAAAGAAAGGAGTTTTTGCCCATCAGTGAGAGTAATAGCCTAGAAAAGCAGTGAGAAACAGGAGACTGCTAACACTCCTTTCTGTAGTATGGGTCCATTTAACATAGAAGAATGAGCCACTTCTGTTTTTAAAGAAGAACCAGTTATCAGGGCAATAGATACCATACGGTGGGCTACTGAGCTTACTTACTATACAATCAGAACCACCTGAGTAGCTTTTTGGAAAAAGTTCCTGGATCCTTCTCCAGTATTCTCATTCAGTACATCTGGGTTGGAACCAGGAATCTCTGACTCCTTCAACTGACTGTTATGCAGCCTGATTTAGGAACTCCACATTAAAGGAAAAGAGTTAAGAAACAGTTTCAAGGTGGAGGGGAGATAGTTTTCTGCTATTTTTAAAAGGAGTTGCAGTGAGTACAGAGGCTGGAAAGAAAAATTGGCAATGGGATGATAAATCCTTAGAAGAGGAAGAAGTAGAAGAAGATGAGGACAGGAGAATGTGAATATAGGTGAAAAACAGGTAAGTAAATAATTCGCCTGACGCTTCTGAATAATTCAACTTTTCTCCTGAATTGTTTCCTGCCAGATCTCTTTGAAACACTCATGAATAGCCAGAATCTGATTATTTTATGTTATTTTTATATTATCTACTTTAAGACTTTGCTGCATGAAACATTTTTTAATGTTATGTCTTTTTAGAATATATTTAAATTGTTTTGTTGAAGGAGGTCAGTTTTAACCAACATAGTCATACCTAATGTTTGCTAGGCATTGTAGTAGGTACTAGGGATAAGTCAGGTGGTTTTCTTGGCTTAAGGATCTCAGTCCAGTACAGGTTATATAGATATGACATTTGTTCACAGACGTCTGTACTATGCATCAATCATGAACAAGTTCAGTCTAAGTACTTCCCAGTATTTAATCAAGGTAGAAAAAAAGTCTCCCAAACTGTTATGACCTGTACATTTTGCTGTCCAGAGATCTGGAGAAGATTCCTCTTTTGATGTCTAGTTCCTTGGGATCTGTTATACCATCCAGGACCACTGGGTTATAGGGTATATTCTCCTTTTCCTCACCTTCATTCTGCTAATGGTCTGTATTATACATTGTCACCTTTTTCTTTCTAGCGCTCAGGATGGAGTTGAGGGTTGCTCCTGAATTCTGGATAGTAATGAGGCCAGTGCTCGGTCACTGTGCTTATGTACACCTCTCTGACAGTCTGGTTTCTTCTATGTGCTTCTCATCGTGAACATCAACTCCTAAGAGATAGGTCCACAGACAAATATTCAAACAAGATTAACCAGTTTACTCTTTCTTTTAAGTATACTTAAATTTGTGCAAATATATAGCATGCATTTTTTTACATCTCTGTTTCTTTTGCAGGTAGTAACCATGGCTATGTGAGTGCCAGTAGCAGAATGTCAAGAAGAGCACATTTATGCTCTGCTGCTACCAGTAGTTTATTAGACATTGATCCTTTAATTTTAATACATTTGTTGGACCTTAAGGACCGCAGCAGTATGGAAAATTTATGGGGCTTACAGCCTCGTCCACCTGCTTCACTTTTGCAGCCCACAGGTAAAATATTAACAATAATTTCCCTTCTTTCCGTAGTTCTCCAGAAGAACTCTTGAATTTTAATCCAAGTCTTTCATCTAAGTGTTGGAACACAGTATGTTTTTTATAGCAAATTGATTTTTTCATTGTATGTCATAAAAATGACATATAAATCAAATTAACTTTTTGTTGCTATTGTTCAAAAGTGTTTTGTGCAAAAGTAATATCAAAAGGCGCGTAAGAAGGTTTTTATATGGTTTGCCATTTAGATTGTGTCTAATTGACAGTTTGATCCATATGAAGTACAGTTGTCCTCTTTGTGAATGGACTTAGAGTTTTGCAGGCTTTGGGAATATTCTAACTTTCAAGTGGAACTGTGTCTAAATTGAATATAGAAAAAGATGGTTTATTCATGCTTTGATATTCAGTAGCCTGAAAATGTATACCAATTAGCAGGAGTGTTTGACGTGCAAAAGTTATTTGTTAAAGAGAAAATTACATTTGTGTTAGAGTAATATGATGTATACACATGCACATGTTGGGTATACAATCAAACCCTGGACTTTTTGAAACTCCCAGGCATAGTCATTTTGAACAGCTTAAGCATTTACCTTTAAATGCCACATTTTAAAAATTATTTTGTTGGAAAGCTTTCTAAGACATAGTGAACATTTTCCTATCTTCTTAAACAATAGTATTGCACAAATCAAATCAATGATTTAGAACAGTGTTTTTTGATACTGCTTTAAAGCAGCAGAACTCATTTTTCAAACAAAGTCTAGGGCAGAGGTTTACTGTAGAGAATGGAGAAACAAAGCTGCTCTGGTGGGAGACAGACTCAGAGCCTGGACGAATTAGGTCTCTTCCTTCCTAAGGTACTTTCTGGAAGTCTCTGGGTCCTCAATTTGTAAAACTGTCTCCAACCAGGTTATGAAACAATTGCTTTCTATTTATGATCCAAGTACATTTTGTATTATACTTGTACTTTTGCAGCATTTATCCCATTGTATATAATTTTACATTTTTTTCGGAGGCAGTTTTATTGTAGAAAACTTGGAAGATACAGAAAATTGTAAAGAAGAAAAGAAAAATCACACACAGTTCTTGTGATCAACAAAGAAACACCTTTTTTTTTAAAAAAAAAAAATACCACATTGGCAAAGGTTTTGCTTAAATTATAACCAGTGTTGCTTGCAGAGACCTGATTCTGCAGGTAGATGTGTACATTAGTTTAACCTTTTTGCAGGAAAATTTTGTAGTAGGCTTAAAATACTTCTATCTTTTAATCCTGTAACTTGACTTCTAGTAGTATATCTCAAAGAGAAAGCAATTAGATTGAAAATATCCAACAGTACAATTATAGCTGAAAAATTATAGTTTAGCCATGCAGTAGCATTTTATAGACAAGTAAAATCAGGTTTTTGAAAAATATTCCGTGTCGTCAGAAAAAAGAATGCAAGTTACATAAATAGAGTAAGATCTCAGATCTCTCAAAGCCTAGTTTTCTATGTAAAATTAATAATGTAAATGAGATGACCTGAGTTTCAAATCCAGGTGGTCAAAATACTCAAGACAAAGGAGGATGGAGGAAATAGTAGAAAGGAAGAGCAAGTCTTAGATTTAAACATCTTGAGTTTGACATACCAGTGGGATATCAAAGTAGAGTAGAGATGCCTGGTAGACAGCTAAAAATTGAAAACTGGCATACAGGCAGTTATTTGCCTAGAGGTGATTCTGGATAATTAAAACTAAGGGAGTAAAATTACAAAAGAGAGAGTTTCAAGCAAATTTTAAAAAGAAAGGACTAGGGACATGATTGTGTTCAACATCTGTTTTTACTGAGTGTATGGAAGATGAGGCAGATGAAGAACCTTTGGAAAGGAGGAAAACCAAGAGAACAGAGTCCAGGAAGCCAAATGAAAATAACTAGTTTGTAAGAGGATATTAAAAGCTAGTGTTGCAGAAAGATCCACCTTTCTTTTTATTAAAATGCTTGTTTGGGGGGCTGGCCCCGTGGCCGAGTGGTTAAGTTCGCGCACTCCGCTGCAGGCGGCCCAGTGTTTCGTTGGTTTGAATCCTGGGCGCGGACATGGCACTGCTCATCAAGCCACGCTGAGGCAGCGTCCCACATGCCACAACTAGGTGGACCCACAACGAAGAATATACAACTATGTACCTGGGGGCTTTGGGGAGAAAAAGGAAAAAATAAAAAAATAAAAAAAGAATGCTTAAAATGCTTGTTTGGGTTTCCATGTTTGTTTTGGTTCTTTGTGTATCCTTCATCTGTATACATTTCATTTCCTTTTCTTGTCTTACTGTGTTATTAGCTAGGACTTCCAGTATGATGTTGAAAAGGACTGGTGAAAGGGGATATCCTTGCCTTGTTTCTTACCTTGGTGGGAAAGCTTTGAGTTTCTCACCAGTAAGTATGATATTAGGTTTTTTGTAGATATTCCTTATCAAGTGGAGGAAATTCCCCTCTATTTCTAGTTTACTGAAAGTTTTTTTAATCATGAATGGGTGTTGGATTTTGTCAAAAGCTTTTTCTGCATCTATTGATATAATGTGATGAATTACATTAATTGATTTTCAAATGTTGAAGCAGCCTTGCATACCTGGGATAAATCCCACTTGGTTGTGGTATATAATTCTTTTTATACTTTGTTAAATTCTGTTTGCTAGTATTTTGTTGAGGATTTTTGCATCTATGTTCATGAGAGATATTGGTCTGTAGTTTCCTTTTCTTAGGATGTCTTTGTCTGGTTTTGGTATTAGAGTAATGCTGGCTTCATAGATTGAGTTAGGAAGTATTCACTCTTCTTCTGTCCTTGGAGATTGTAGAGAATTGGCATATTTTCTTCCAGTGCACCCATCTGAGTCTGATGCTTTCTGTTTTGGAAAGTTATTAATTGTTGATTCAATTTCTTTAATAGATTTAGGCCTATTCAGATTGTCTGTTTCTTCTTGTGTGAATTTTCGCATATTGTGTTTCAAGGAGTTGGTCCATTACATCTATGTTGTCAAATATGTTGGCATAGAGTTGTTCATAGTATTCCTTTGTTGTCTTTTTATTCTTTCTGTCAACATATATTTAGTGAACACCTATTATGTGTCAGACTCACTGCAAGTTCATGTTCTTAATGACTATGCTATAAAAGGAGTATCAAGAGAGGCATCAGAGTATGAACAACAGGTAATGTAGCTGAACCAGATTTTAAGGTACATGTAGTGTTTAGTAGAACTAGAAAGGGAAGTTGAATCTGTTCTGTGAAAGGCCTAACCTGAAGAGTTTATTCATAGTGGGCAGTGGGGAGCCTTGTTTTGGTTTAGGAGTGGTTTGATTCAAACTGTATTTTAGAAAATTGGCAGCACTGAGAAAACTATCAGAAATGGAAGTTTAATCAGGATACCATTGTAGAAGTTTATTTCAGTGATTCCTAGCATGAGAGGACAAATTCATGCATTTCTTTGTATTTTCTCAATCATCATGTGCTTAAAAATATGTGGAGCTGGGGTAAGGTCTTCAGAATCTTTTGACATTATAAAAGTTCTACTTAACCTCTAGGGAATACATTAATCTAGGCAATATATAGTTAAGATTTTACAGGGGCCAGGGGCCGGCCCAGTGGCACAGTGGTTAAGTGCGCATGTTCCGCTTCAGCAGCCCGGGGTCCACTGGTTTGGATCCCGGGTGCGGACATGGCACTGCTTGTCAAGCCATGCTGTGGTAGGCCTCACACCTATAAAGTAGAGGAAGATGGGCACAGATGTTAGCTCAGGGCCAGTCTTCCTCAGCAAAAAGAGGAGGATTGGCAGCAGATGTTAGCTCAGAGCTAATCTTCCTCAAAAAAAGAAAAAAATATTTTACAGGGGCCAGCCCTGTGGTGTAGTGGTTAAGTTCAGCACGCTACACTTTGGCGGCCTGACTTTGTGGTTTCAGATCCTGGGTGCAGTCCTACACCACTCGTCAGCTATGTTGTGGTGGCAGCCCATATATAAAGTGGTGGAAGATTGACAGATGTTAGCTCAGGGCTAATCTTCTTCAAGCAAAAAAAGAGGAAGATTTGCAGCAGGTGTTAGCTCAGGGCTAATCTTCTTCAAGCAAAAAAAGAGGAAGATTGGCAGCAGATGTTAGCTCAGGGCTAATCTTCGTCAGCAAGAAAAGAAAGATTTTACTTATAGCATGGCAGTGGTAATATTTGGAACCTTGTGAAGTTAGAGTTTATGAAGGTTGGCAACCAATTCGAATGTGGTAAAGAGACTCTAAGGAAGCTTAGATGGTGACCAGGAGAAGAGTGGCAGCATTGACAGATACTGACGTCTAGAGGAGGAGCTGTAGCAAACTGTTGTTCCTGAAGGCCATACTGAATGATATGAAAGAAGTCTTACAGATAAGACTCTCAATTCTAATTAACCTTATAACTTGGCAAATTCAGGAAGGATTGTCCTCATCAGTGTAGTAAGTATTCTTAAATTGTCAGGTTCCCCTGGTATAAGATCCCATGGCACCTTATACTTTCCTGTCTTGGCACTTATCACATGGTGCTGAAATGGATTATTTTTCGTTTTTCCCAGCTGGACTATGACCTTCATGAGGTCAAAGACTGAGTGTTCATCTTGTTCACTTGTATCCCCTGCCCAGCACAGTGCCTGCATTTGAAACAGGCTTAGTAATTGTTTATTGACTGATAATCAGATGGTGGAGGTTTGCTTAAATCTTTTTGTATTTTCCCATTTGGGATTTTTACTTTTTTAAAATTCTTGTCAGTTTCTAGTAATAATGAACTGAACCGTGTCAGTTAATGAAGATTTTCACATTTAAGTCCCTGTAAGATGTAGGGGTGGGAGATGGGAGCCACAAAGACTTTATTTAGCAAAACATTTTGAGTATTTTGTGCCATAGGCTGTTTGTCTTGGAATGCAAAGATCACTAAGATGTGATCTGCACTCTTAGGTTGTTCACAGTCTACATATTTGTCTTCCTTACTGTAATGTGATAAGTGCTACAGTAGGACTCTACTCCATGTACTGTACAAAATTAGGTAAGAATTGATTTGGAAGGACAAGGGCAGTTGGTGTTTTGGTGCCTGAAGGAGGGGACATTTCAGATTATATCTGATGAGTTTGGTGAATGTGACAGAGAAAGAGGAAAGGAAATAGGACATGTGAAAAGCATGGAAGCGTGTTAGAGAGCATGGCTGTATTAGAAAACATGTATACCATGTGTTAGAAAGAGTTGCAGGTAATTGCAGAAGATTGGGATATGTTTGGGGTATAGATAGAAGATATAGCAACTGAGAGATAAGGTAGAATCAGGTAATATAGGGTCTCCTGTGCCATGCTGGTGCTTTCCTCAATGATTCTAAGCAGAAAAGTAATATCTGATTTGGTTTTAGACTACACTGCAGAGTGCTTTCACAACCTTGAGTCTTCTGAGCCTCATGACAACCCTGTTATGCGTATATTATTATTTTCATTTTACAAATAAATAAATGGACTCAGAAGTTGATGGGCTTATAGAAAGTTACAGCAACTAAATGATATTTCTGAGACCAAATCCTGAGTTCCTAAAATCTCTTAATCATATTCTGTTCTGAATGCTTTCAACTGCTAGTAATGAAATGCTGCTGATGGTGACTTAGCTAATAAAGGCACTTAATGATAATGCATATTCAGAAGTCTAGAGGTAACTGGTTCCAGGTTCATCAGATACTTAAAGGCAGGGCACTGGATGGACCTCCTGTGGTTCTCTTGCCTCTTCTCTCATGGGAGTAAGATGGTTGCCACAGCTCTAGGCATCATATATTCACAGGAATGTGTCACTAGCAGGAAGAAAAAGAGTGGATGGAAAAGAAACTCTATTCCTGTGACCCTAAAGAGCAAAGTTACTAATATTAAGATCACTGATTTCTGGAAGTAGGCTTTTGGGTTTGAATTCAAGCTCCTCTTATTAGCTGTGTTACCTTGAGTGTGTCATATAACCTTTCTGTGTCTTACTTTCCTCATTTACCAAATGGAGATAATAATAGTGCTTACTTACCTCAGGATTGCTATGAGAGGATTAAATGACAATATTTTTAAAATATCTGACACTCAATAAGCTCTTTATAGATGTTTTTTAAATAAATAAACACGACAGAATCTCTCTATCAGGATAGAAAGTCTTTCCCAGAAGTAGCCCCCAACGACCACAGACTTTTGGCTGGAACTGAGTCATGTGCCCACCCTGAACACTGTCAGAGAGGAATGAGCTTAGACCAGTACTGGACCCATATCCCCTGGGACTGGAGGAAAGACCTAACCTCCTGAGCACATTGCTGCCTACCTGATACCTCCACAGTCTGGGTCCTTTTGCAAGGTAGAAGTGGGAGGAATGGCTATTGGGAACACTACAATGTCTGCCTTTTACTATACTCCCTTTTTTATGGCAGAAGGTTGTTGCAATGTATAAACAGGTTCAGCTATCATTCCTGCTAATAAAGGACTTACTCTTTGACTGGTTATGGTGCCTGTTGGTCTCCCATTTTGAGGTGTTTGTGTATTTGGTTTTTTGGCTTAGTTTCTTTTTGCTTTGACGTTTTTGGTGCTTTTTTTTTTTTTTTTTTTGAGGATGATTAGCCCTGAGCTAACTACTGCCAATCCTCCTCTTTTTGCTGAGGAAGACTGGCCCTGAGCTAACATCCGTGCCCATCTTCCTCTACTTTCTATGTGGGACACCTGCCACAGCATGGCTTGCTGAGTGGTGCCACGTCTGCACCCGGGATCTGAACCAGCAAACGCTGGGCCGCCAAAGCGGAATGTGTGAACTTAACTGCTGCACCACTGGGCCGGCCCCAATGCTTTGAGTCAGTTATAATGTTCTTTGATTTCCAAAATATCTACTTCTTTTTCCCTTCCTGCAATAGAAAGTATGTATTTTCCTTAGTCATGTCTCTCTTTTTTATATTTGAGTAGGGGAAGAAGAAATTAAAAACTTCAACTGGTTTCTCTGAGGAGAGAGAAAACATTGTTACTTTAGTGGCTGCAAAGATTCAGTGACAGAGAACTAGTCTTTTTTTTTATTTTCTTGCTGAGGAAGGTTAGCCCTGAGCTAACATCTGTACCAATCTTCCTCCACTTTATATGTGGGTCACTGCCACAGCATGGGTGACAAGTGGTATAGATCAACACCCAGTATCCAAACCCCTGATCCTGGGCCACCAAAGCAGAGCACAGCAAACTTAACCACTATGCCACGGGACCAGCCCCCAAGAACTATTTTTTTATGATGTTGCATGTTACTTAATAGCTGCATCTACATTGGATAGTAGTTCAGTAAATCAACTTTTTGAATTAGGCAGAATATATTTATTTTCGTGTACTATGTATAGCAGATTTGACTATTTGGCTTCTAGGGGTTTTTCCTCACTTCTCAATTTTATTTTATTTTTATTTTTATTTTTTTAGATTTTATTTTTTTCCTTTTTCTCCCCAAAGCCCCCCGGTACATAGTTGTACATTCTCCGCTGTGAGTCCTTCTAGTTGTGGCATGTGGGACGCCGCCCCAGCGTGGCTTGATGAGCAGTGCCGTGTCCGCACCCAGGATCCGAACCAACGAAACACTGGGCCGCCTGCAGCGGAGTGCACGAACTTAACCACTCGGCCACAGGGCCAGCCCCTCACTTCTCAATTTTAAATATAAAAGCTCAATGTAGAAAATTTGAGAAAAGTGAAGACGTATAGAGACGAAAGCACAGGCAGTAGGGCAGCTTTTTAAACTTTTAGAATTAAATATATAACTCAGATTTGAGTGATTATAATGACTTAGATTCTAACTTTAATGCAATTTAATGCATGCCTTTATTGTTGCTATCACCTAAAGCACCTTTGCTTATTTGCACATCTGATTTCCATATATTCACAGTACAAAGTGATTTCATGAATATTAACCTGACTTGTCACTTTCTCCCTGAAGCATCATATTCTCGAAAAGATAAAGACCAGAGGAAGCAGCAGGCAATGTGGCGAGTTCCCTCTGATTTAAAGATGCTAAAAAGACTCAAAACTCAAATGGCTGAAGTTCGATGTATGAAAACTGATGTAAAGAATACACTTTCAGAAGTAAAAGGCAGCAACGCTGCTTCTGGAGACATGCAGGCAAGCCTTTTTTCTGCTGACCAGGTAGCTCTGGCTGCGTGTGGAACCGAAAACTCTGGCAGATTACAGGATTTAGGAATGGAGCTCTTGGCAAAGTCATCAGTTGCCAGTTGTTACATACGAAACTGTAAGTGAAAAACCTCTTAGTGTAATTTCTCCGTGTGTCATTTGAGAAACTAGAGGACCAGTTATTTTCATAATAATAATATTTAAACATTTTTCTTACAGTGAATTAAAACTACAAATACATATAGCCTTTTCTCCCATCAAAAACTGTGTGTTTTCAGCTATACAATGGAGCTAACTTTTCTTATTCTGTACTGGGCAGTAAACAAGACAAAATTTTTAACCTCATGGATCTTGCATTCATGTATTGATGTAATGGGAATCAGACATTAAAATGCGTAGACAAGTAAAGGTAACTTCAGTTGGTGAAAAGTGCTGTGATGGAAACAACAGAAGAGTTGGATGGGAAGAGCAGGTGAAGAGCGTGCTACTTTAGTTAGGGTAGTCAGGGAAAGTCTCTGTGGAGGCGAGATTTGAACAGAGCTGAAGGTTGAGAAGCTGGCAGCTGTGCAGAGATCCGGGGAAGCAGTGTTCAGGGCAAACAGAAAAGAAAATGCAAAGTCACTGATAGAGGATTTGCTCGGCATGTTTGAAGGCTGGAAGGAAAACCACCAGTATGGTTGAATATGGTGAACAAAGCAGATGGGAGAATAATAGGAGGTAAGTCAGAGAGGTAGGCAGAATCTAGATCAGGTAACGTCTTTTAAGACCTGGATAAGGAGTTTGAGGTTTTTTTGTTGTCATTTTTGCTTGAGGAAGATTAGCCCTGAGCTAACATCCCTTCCAATCTTCCTCTACGTTCTATGTGGAATGCCTCCACAGCATGATTGATGAGTGGAGTAGGTCTGTGCCTGGGATCTGAACCTGTGAACCCTGGCCGCTGAAGCGGAGTGTACAGAACTTTAGCCACAAGGCGGACCCCAAAATGATTTTAAGAGGAAGACTAGAGAATAAAAACCAGGGATGTATTTATGATCTGATCTACCTTTTATAAAGATTAGTTTGCTTGTGTGGAAAAGGGTCTGAAGGAGGTTGAGAGTAGGAGTTGTGAGATCAGTAAATAGACTATAACAATAGCTTGTGTGAAATATGGTGGCTCATTCTGGAGTTTTCAGTGGATAGATGGACTTGTTCATAGTCTAGCAACCTTTCTTGACCGAGTGTGCCATCTTTCTTAATTCTCCTAAGGATGGTACGTAACTAGCACTATTCTAAAAACATGGGAGAGAAGTTAATCCGTTACATACAATGGAAATTTTAGACCAGGGGGCTCAGTTCTTTCCCACAACCCTGGTAAGAAAGGCTGGATAGTGTTTTAGGGGAAAGAAAACTAATGATGTTTAAGATTTTGGCCTAAGCAACTTTGTGACTGGTGGTGTCGTTAATTGAGATGCAAATCAAATAAGGAAGAAGCAGGTGTGGGTATTCGGGGTGGCTAGGGACAGGAAGTTAGGAATTCTTTTTTAAACATGTTAAGTTTGAGGTGTTTGCTAGATATCCTAGTAAAATGTTTTATAGGCAGGTGAATAGTACGTAAGTCTGAAGCTTATGAAGTCAAAGCTGGATATAAACAGTTGGGAGTCAGTAGTATCAGATGTTGTTTAAAGCCAGGGAGCAGGTACTAAATACTATGGAGGGAGTTTAAATGGAGAAGAGAAATTTTGGCTCTGGGGCACTTAAACATTTAAAGGCCTGATAATACATAGGAGGCCAGCAAAGGAAATTGGAAAAAGGAATCATTGAGGTAGGAGAAAAACTAGAAAGGATAACGTCTCAAAAATCCTAAAAAAAATGGCATCTCAAAAAGAAGTAGAGTGGTCCCACCATTGAGAGGTGTCAAGATGAAGGGCGAGTAGCCCTTTTAAGAACCATTTCCATGGAGGAGTGTAACAGAAGAGTGAATGAGGTGAAAACTGGAGAATGATTGCACAGCTCCTTCAAGAAGTTTCACGATGAATCAGGTGGTACCCAGATGGGGTGTGGAGTCAAGAAAGAGTTTGTTATCTGTGTGTGTGTTTTCATTTTCTTAAGCATGTATGCTTTTTTCTTTTTACCTATTTTTTTATTGTAGTAAAATATATATAAGAAAATTTACCATTTTAACCATTTTTAAGTGTACAGTTCAGTGGCATTAAGTACATTTGCAGTGTTGTGCAACCATCACCACTGTCTATCCCTAGAACTTTTTCATCATCCCAAACTGAAATTCTGCATCTGTTAAACAGTAACTCACCATTCCCCCTTTTTCCCAACCCCTAGTAACCACTATTCTACTTTCTGTTTCTATGAACTTGTCTATTCTAGATATCTCATATAAGTGGAATCATACAATGCTTGTCTTTTTGTATCTGGCTTATTTCACTTTAACATAATGTCTTCAAGGTTCATCCATATTGTAGCATGTGTCAGAATTTCATTCCTTTTTAAAGCTGAATAATATTCCATTTGTGTATATACACACACACACACACACACACCCCACATTTTGTTTTTCCATTCGTCTTTTGATGGACACTTGGTTAGCATCTGCTTTTTGGCTATTGCAAATAATGCATCTATGAACATGAATGTTTCTTTTTTTGAAGACCCTGCGTTCAGTTTTTTTGGACATATATACCCAGAAGTGGTATATATGGTAATTCAATTTTTAATTTTTTGAGGAACTGCCACTGTTTGAGGTTGCACCATTTTACAGTCCCACCAACAGTACACGAGGATTCCAGTTTCTCCACATCTTCCCCAACACTTCTTATTTTCTGATTTTTTTTAAACAAACCCATACTAATGGATGTGAAGTGGTATCTCATTGTAGTTTTGATTTACATTTCCTTAATGATTAGTGATGTTGAGCATCTTTTCATGTGTTTATTGGCCATCTGTATATGTCTTCTTTAAAGAAATGTCTGTTCAAGTCCTTTGCCCATTTTTGGGTTGATTTTTTTTGCTGGGAAAGAGTTGCCCTGAGCTAACATATGTTGCCAGTGGTCCTCTCTTTTTCTTCTTTTTCCTCCCCAAAGCCCCAGTACATAGTTGTATATTCTAGTTGTAAGTCCTTCTAGTTCTACGTGAGCCACCGCCACAGCATGGCTACTGACAGACGAGTGGTGTGGTTCCGTGCCCAGGAACTGAACCTGGGCCACCGAAGGGGAGTGTGCCAGACTTTAACCACTAGGCCACCAGGGCTGGCTTGGGTTGGTGGTTGGTTTTTTGATTATGAGTTTTAGGAGTTCTCTATATATTCTGGATATTAATCCCTTATCAGATAAATGATTTGTAAATGTTTTCTCTCATTCTGTAAGTTGCCTTTTCACTCTCTTGATAGTCGTCCAATCAGTGAACCTAATGTTTTTCCTGTCGTCTTTGTTTTCTTTCAGCGAGTGATAGTTTCCAGTATACAAGTCTTACATTTCTTTGTTAAATTTTCTCCTGTTTTATTCTATTTGATGCTGTTGTAAATGGAATTGTTTTCTTAATTTCATTTGAGATTGTTCTTTGCTAGTGTGTAAATTGACGATTATTGGCCTTACACCTTTCTCCCTTGCTGAACCTGTTTATTACTTAGTGCATTTCTTCTGCTTTCTTTTTTTTTTGAGGAAGATTAGCCCTGAGCTAACATCTGCTGCCAATCCTCCTCTTTTTGCTGAGGAAGCCTGGCCCTGAGCTAACATTCATGCCCATCTTCCTCTCTTTTATATGTGGGACACCTGCCACAGCATGGCTTGCTTAGTGGTGCCATATCCGCGCCAGGGATCCGAACCAGCAAACTCTGGGCTGCCGAAGCGGAGTGTGCGCTCTTAACCGCTGCACCACCGGGCTGGCCCCTCTTCTACTTTCTTTTTACTTATTTTTATTCTTTTTCTAGCTTCTTGAGTCTATGCGTGTTTGGCCATTTAGTTTTTTCTAATTAATGCGTTTTAAGGCCATTTGTTTTCTTTTAATTACTATTTTAGCCACAAACATCTCAAAGCATTGTAATTGTGATTTATTTCTAATTCAGCATTTATTTTCCTTTTAATTCATAATATTTTACAATTTCTAAGTGTTTAGGGGGTTATATTTTTGTTGTTGGTAGTTAGTTTTAATTGCATTGAGATTGGAGTTCATGTCTGGTATGATTTTTCTTTTGGAGTTTACAGATATTTTTCTAGTTTTGTGAGTTAAGACTGCTCTACAAGCAGCTGTGCTGTACAGGTATTCCTACTTTTGCCATAAAACTCTGATAAACCAGTTGGGACCCCAGTGTCCTGTTTATTTTTGGACACATTAGATAAAATACCTTCCCTGCGTAGTAAGATTAAACTTTTCTCTGACTGCCTGGGTAATGAGTTTTGTGCTATTTCATCATATTCAGAATGTTTTTAAATGTGTTTGCAGCCACAAATAAGAAAAGTAATTCAGCCAAGCCAGCTCCATCCAGTATAGCGGGTAGTCTGTCACTTCGAAGAGCAATAGACTCTGGGGAAAATAGCCGTTCGAAAGGAGACTGTCAAACTCTGTCTGAAGGTAAGTTTGGAACGTTCAGAATGTAATGCAGGTGGGTAGATGTCTGTTATTTGAATGTGATCTTATGTGTAGCTTTAGAACATTAAAGGCACCAAAAATGGTAAAACTTGATTTGAAAGTTCCTTGATCTCACAACAGAACGACCTATCAGTAAGAAAATGCAGCCATTAGACTTCATATTCTGGACTCCTTAATTTTAAATACCTGGCATCAAAAAAACTGGGATATATTTTTAAGTTCTTGAGTTTTCCTGCAATTTAAAAATGTGAAAGTGGACACTGTAGAGACAACTTTTTGTTTCTTTGACTTCTTTCTGAATGTCCCCTTCTTTTCCTGAAGGCTCTCCAGGAAGCTCTCAGTCTGGGAGCAGGCACAGTTCTCCCCGAGCCTTGACACATGGCAGCATCAGTGATATTCTGCCGAAATCTGAAGACCGGCAGTGTCAAGCTTTGGATTCCGATGCTGTTGTGGTTGCAGTTTTCAATGGCTTACCTACTACTGAGAAGAGGAGGAAAATGGTCACCTTGGGGTAAATTTTTTTATTTATGTAATGGAATAATAACTAATAGCTTTGTTTAGCACTTTAAGTCTGCATCATAATGAACAAAATAAATTTCCACTTTAACTTTTTTTTAGCAGACAGAAAGTTCATTTGTTGTAGTAAAATGTATCTTTTAAAGTGTCACAGGCCTTACTTTTTTCCCTAATGGAATGAGATAGTGCCAGAAGTTCTGTTCAAATATGTTAGAGCTCATTTTCACTGAAGTTAGGATAGTAATGGTGTGTAACCTTGTATGAACTCATCCTTGTGAGATTTTTGTGTGCCTGTCAGCTTTTTTTTTCTTTCATCTATCTCACAGTTTTCAAAGACATTTGTGCTGGGCTATATTATTATCTCATAGGTCCTTTACACATATTTTGTATGGAACAAAGCACTTTTAGCAGTTTTATTTTAGCACTGCTTTTCTGCTTTTATCTTACCTTTTTTCTCTCTTCTTATGAAAGTGTTCTCAAAACTCCTAGTTGGAATTTTCCAAAAGGACGTATATTATAGTTAGCACCTTTATCTCACTCCCAGGAAATATAAACTCACATCCTAGCCATGTCTGTTAAACTTCCATCCATTCAAAAGATAGGGTGATTTTGGAATATCCTGTCTATGAATATGCTAGAAGAGCCATTAATATCCATCTGCTAATCTATTTTATGGATATTAAATACATTTTTTAAATTTAAACAATGGAATCGTTTCCCCTCGGAGACTTTGAAAAGAACTTTGAATTAAATTTAGAGAAAGATTAATATCCCTCAAGTTTACTTAATTTTATACAATTTTAAGATCTGGATAATTACCAAATCTAAAAGGACAGCTGGTGGTTTAGTTTTCTCTTTTAGTTCAAGTTTAAGCAGTGGAAAGGTGTTATAATCATTGGAGATAATCTTGTCCTCACCATTACCTAGCCTGATTTTATACATGTTCCTTTCAAATTGAAGCTGCAACTAGCTTTTATGTTTTATTTGTTATGGAGATATTTCTGTCTGCCTTTAGTCATAAAGATTAGATGTATATGAGCATAGACTTTTATCTAGACTGCAAAATCCTTTTTAAATGTCTGCGGCTCTTAGCTATAACTATCATTTTATAGTTAAATGTAATGCCGTTCTGGCTCATGTGGTGCTTTCCAGCTTGTGTGTTTTTTCCCTGCTTGACTTAAAGTAATGTGAGCAAAAATTTTAAATACTAATAACTGGTTCTAAAATGGAAATGAAAAAAGAATATTAAGTGAAAATTTTCCCATCTTTATCTCCCATCTGCTTAGTTTTCCAACCCCCTGCCCACACACATTCCTGCTGTTCTTAATTTTTTATGTATGCTGTGTCTTCTCAGTTTTTATGCATATTTAAGCAAGTTTGACTATATAGCTTTTTTAATACAAAAGGTGTACCTTGTTTTCTTACTCAATAATATATCTCAAAAGTCTTTTCTATGTTAGTGAAAACATTATTTAGGACTTCTATTTATGTTTATTTTTTATTGAAATAATTGTAGATTCACATGTAATTATAGGAAATAAGATAGAGAGATCCTGTGTGCCTTAATCAATTTCCCCTAGTGATAACATTTTGCAAAACTCTGATAGAGTATCACAACCAGGATATGGAAATTCACCATTTTATAACCTTATATTGTTAATCTTCTAGTGAATTTTTTAAAACTAAAGTTTGAAATTTATTACCAAACAACAGTGCCATGTATCCTTCTTAGTTTGATGCTCAGTTTCAGGACAAGAAGAAAATATAGATTATTGTATCACTGACTAGGTATACAAAAATATCAGGTTATTTTCTCCCTCTTTGAGGGCTAATGCTAAAGGAGGTCTTCTGGAAGGAATGCAAATAACTGATTTGGAAAATAATTCTGAAACTGGGGAATTACAACCTATACTACCAGAAGGAGCTTCAGCTGCCCCTGAGGAAGGTAAGGAATGATGAAGTCATAATTAAGTGGGAGGAGTGAATAATGATCTTTTTTGGTGGGGGGGGGGGGTGGGGAGTGGTTGGTTTAATAAAGTTATTGAGACATTATCTATATCTGACATGCTTGATCCGAACACAGTATTCATTGTGTCACTGAATTTGATTTACTAGGACATTAAGCACAGAGGAAGGCAAAATGGATAGTTGACTACATAAAAGATATCTTACTAGAAGGGGAATTTTACAGGGGAAAAATCTGCAGATAGTTCATCTCCTCATTCAATAAATGTATCAAGCCGCCTACATGAAACAGGCATTGGATTTTTGCTAGATATTCAAAGATGAAACTAGATATGTTCACAGTCTTAGAGGGAAGACATGCCCGAAACAACTAATTAGAATATTAAGTACTTCATCTTTTAAAGTCAGTCTTGATTAATGATTGTAGATTGCTTTACTCTTACAGAAGTATTCCAAACTTTAACCATTTTAAAAATCCTCTATGGTAACTGACTTCATCTTTGCCAGTTCATTCTCAGTTACATTTCTAATACTGTCCTGTGTGTTCTTACACATTCATTATTCTTTATCTAAAAGTAGAAAAGATATTTTTTTAATTTTGAGTAACAGAGAATACTTGAAACAAGGTCATGTGTGTTGCCCTTGCGGTGTCCTTTATATGTTAGCAGAAAATTGTGTCAACTTTATTAATGATATTTGACATTGAAATTTTTTTCATTTCTCATTGAAACTTTGCCACCTTCCACCTCTGTACTCATTTGAATTTCATTGATTGATGATTTGTAGCTCAAAGCGTATATACAGGTGCCAGCATCTACCTCTGGCTGCCTTGTTAGGCGTTGGCATTTTCAGTTAAATAACGCTGGACATTTTGGTCATCCCTCTTCGTTGGTGTACCTGTGACGGGCATCATTATTTCAGTAGGAGAGATTAAATGGAAAGGATTTTTACAGTAAAGTGTGTATTGTTAAAACATAAATAAAGAAATATTATGACTGATGATCTTTATAGAAAGGACCTGTAGGGATTAGCTAGTTTTCATTTATACGTATTGATTATAAATTGTGGTGGCTTAAATTTTTACATCGTATGCTGGACTTACAGGCTCCTTTTATTCATACAGCATTTATGAAATGCTTCTAATTTGCCTGGCATTGCATTTGATGCTGGTGATAAAGTGGTGAACTATCTACTGTGTGGTACAGGGTTTCTCTACCTTGGCACCACTGCATTTTGGGTAGATGGTTCTTTATTGTAGGGGGCTGCCTGTGCATTGTAGAATGTTTAGCAGCACCCTTGGCTTTTAACCACGAGATGCCAGTACTACTTCCTATGAGTTACAATAACTGAAAATGTCTCCAGACATTACCAAATGTTACCTGGGAGGCAAAGTCTTCCCTAGTTGACAACCACTAGTTGAGTTAAATGACTGTCAACCAGGGGTGACCACTCCTTAAGAATCACTTGTCAGAGTGGGTCACAATTACAAATGGTAGCAAGTTGTAGCCCTCAGGTAGGCTAGATATATGTGTTGGTGGTGGTGGGTGGGTCGCAGGGAGAGCAATTGAAAACCGCTGGTCAGGTGTCAGAAAGACCTTTTAATAGTCAATTATAATAGAATGATGAATGCTGTGATAGGGTATATAGGGAGCTGAAAGAACAGGTATGTAATAATAAAAATATATATAATATGTACTGAGTTCTCATTATGTATTAGAGATTGCTAAAGACTTCACCAGTATTATCTTTTATTTTCTCAGGACAGTGCTACATGGTAGTTACTTTATTACTTTGATTTTAGAGACAAGTAGCCTGAGGCTTAGAGATGTAATTTAGCTAACCCAAAGTCAGAGTTAGTAAATGGAAGGGTTGGAATTTGAACCCAGAGCCAGTGCTCCTAACTATTACCTCTCTACACTAACCTCGTCCACCGTTGGACAGATCATCCTAAGGGATGAGTACGAGTTAGCCAGGTGAAGACTGACAAAAGATGGGGGTAGAGTGGAGGCAGAAGTCAGATCATGAAAAGTTACATTGTGTGTCCTAGCTAGAATTTGGACTCTGTCCTTTGAATGGGATCTAAACAAGTAGTGAAATAATAAAATTATGTTTTTCAATTCCTGCTCTTGCTGCATTGTGGAGAATGGATTTTGGGGAGTGAGAATGGGATGTGGAACTCTGGGGGCAGGAAAACTGGTAAGAAGCATGTTAAATTATCCTAGGAGAGAGATGACTTGGACTTCTTAATTTCAGCCTTCAACTCATGAATTCACATTATCTTAGCAATTTTTCCATGTAATTAGCTAGTTAGCACAAAAAACCTTGAACGTTTTTGACATCCGTTTCATTGACAGCCTATCCTAAAATGGAGAAAGGCATTTGGTTGGCCACATTTAGGATCTGCTTTGCACTTTCAAGTCCTTGAAACTGAAATTTAGAGCTAAGTGGTCAGTGTTAACATCTTCTCTTCTATAAGGAGTGTGTGGTGATATAAAGCACATAGAACTCAGTAAGAAAAGTTGCTGTAAACATGCAAATCATCAGTGCCACAGAAGTACACCCTTGCAATTTGTTGGTATCTAAACAGCTTGTTTACCACTAGAGTCCCAGGATAGGCAGTGAGAAGGAGACTGATGAGGCTGGAAGGAAGGAATACAGTAGAGAAAAGGAGCTCTGTATCTTTTGGAATCTGCTTTGTTTGTGAGAGGAGAATGGGGCCTTACTCACTGTTGTGGGTATTACTCTATTATCAGCAGGAGCCAATTCTCAAGAAACCTTATTTTTCACACTGGTAAGCCTTGATAGAAAGCTGAGTGGGTTTGTCTTGTATCCATACTTAGGAAAAACAAGGCTTGTTATTTGAGCAGAATACCTAAGAGAAAATTTTCTGTGTCAGATCACTGTGGGTCGATGTCTTTCTCAAGCTATTTGAAGAAACTTTAAAATAAGGCATTGTTTGTGTTACCAGCTGGAAATTTGGGACTACTAAAGAGGTCTCTTAAATGTTCTTGAGCAAAATGTGACTTGTCTTAGATGTGACAGTTATCAACAGGCCTTTCCTTCTAACTGGGGCCATGTAGAACAACTTTGTATTAATCTTCTGTTTAATGTCTGATACTGAAAAGCATAATTACTCCCTCTCCTGCCCCCTCTCCAGTTGACACCCTACAGAACTCCTATAGGTAGACCAGTTTCTTCCTTGTTCTCTCTAAAACTGGAGACTGTGCTCTGAGTTCCTACTGAAGTAACACAGATCGCTTTCAATTAAGTCAGGGATATCAAAACACCTATCCCAGAAAAAAGCTGTGGCATACCTGTTGCAAACCTTTCTGGCAGCCTGTCTAAGAGGAGTGCAAAGTCTGATGTTCCAGCCTTGCTGATCCCTTTTGGGATATTGATTAAGAGCTTTTAACATAAGTTACGAAAACTCAATCTGCTGGCTTAAACAATAAGGAAGATTTGCTCTCTTGTGTTAACAAGTCTCTCCTAACTGTGATAGGGTAGTTTCAAGGTTGGAAAATTAAGCTACTCAGTGTCATCAAGAACTCTGGGGTTTTTTGCCATCTTTTGCTCTGCCATTCTTAGTGAGTTGGCTTAGCTCCCCTCAGGATAACAAGATGGTTGCTACAGTTCCAGACTTCATATAGAATCCAAACAATATCCCGGGAGTAGGGGAGGGTCATTGCATTCTCTGTATCTCTATTTATCAACAAGGAAAACCTTTCTCAGAGCACCTCAACAACTTCCTAACTTCCTCTTATATAAGAGCTCAATAATCACTAGCTAAAGAAGGAAACTTGGCAAAGTCTAAACATTTGGTCCCCCTCACAGACCCCATTCCTCATGGCCATGTTTAAGAGGAAGGATAGCTGAACCATGCCGAGGTTCTGTTAGAAAGGAGGAAGGCAAGTGAAGCTTTACTGTCTGCTGTACCAAGTAGTTAATGTATGTTCCGAGCATCTGAAATTTGAGCACCCTTGAATAAGGGAGTTGTAACTCGAAAGTTAGCATTGGACAGTACTGATCATATAGTGAATGTTTTAAGCATTTGATAGTTGATTGATACAGAAATGTCCTGTTTCAAATTTTACTCTAAGATGCAGGCGGTTTTTTCCCCCATATTAACGTCTCTGAAGCAGCTTACATTTAATGGTATCTTGTCATTACTATCAGTGACAGCCATTTATGTGAAAACTTTTGACACCTGGTGAGTTCAAGAAAGTTCCATTATTCAAATTTCTTAGACTCAGTGAAATATCAGTAGTTTGCTTTAACCATTACTTAATGCAGTGGATAGACATTACAATATATGGGGCAAGGCATAGCAAATAGCTTGTGACCTGTTTCTTGGCAGCAGCTAGTTTCATTTCAGGAAAATGAAAAGTATTTGATTTTATCTTGGTTTACCCTCTCTCACTTATTGAGGGCAATGGGTTGTACAGGACCTATGGACCCAGTGAGCCAACAAGAGACCAGTTTATCTTTCCCATTACATTCACAAGCTAGCGAACTTCCAGATCTTAAAACCTGATAAAAGACCAAGTGATGTTTTCATGCAGGAATTCTTCCCAGCATTTCTTGGGAAATGCATGTTTTTTCCTGAGTCTTGAGAAAAATGAGTCAAGAAATCGAATAATGGAAAAAATTATTCTAATTCTCCTGTTAGACTTAATCTTAACAATTAATACAGAAACATTGCTGGTTTGAAGGTATCCACTTATGGCAAGTTAATGGAAAAACTGAAAATGCTGATACTAGGAATCAAAGGTTAAGATCAACAGGAGCACCTTGGAAAAAAGTGATCACGATCAAATCAGTCCTGGTTATAGCCGTTGCCATTTTATAAGTATATGTTCATGGCCCTGTCTGCTGTGATGTAAATATTAATGAGTTTATACTACAGTTTATGAGAATTCTGTGCATGGTGTTCCAAGAAAGTTTTGGGAGCAAAATAATTCCTTAAATTGGCATTTTTGACACGTGATTCTATGCAGTGCTAAAAACCTTGCTAAGAGTTCTCAATGTTGCATTATTCGAATACTACCCAATAATGTTCACAACATTTTCCAGCATTTGAATATTCGTTGTAGGCTGCAGTTCTTGTAACTACTAGAAATTAAACAAAAACTTTAAAGATACATAATTAATACTGTAAAAAGTTTGAAAAAATGTTGTTAGTATTTAAAGAATAACTTAAAATTTGGGGAATTCCAGTTCCTCGTTTGTGAATCTTGAAGGTTAGTATCTGTCAGGACTTCAGAAACACTGGTACCAAGAGGTCAAATTTGTGCCTGGCATTTACATAACTCAAGTGGATTTTAGTGTTTCCAGCAACAGTTTCACGGAGAGCCACAAGGTGGAGGTGGTGCTTCACGCAAGTAGCTGGTTTGGTCTCTAAACAGTGTTACTCTTTACTCTTTAGAGCAGGAAAGGTTTTTTTCTTTGCTGAAGAAGGAATTTCAGAAATGTCCATACATCCAGCCTATGTCTTCTAAGTATTTAAGGGAGAAGTAAACTACACAAACTCTTGAAAACAGAAGAGGAAAAATGCACCAGTAAAACCATCTGGGGCTATAGTTTTCTTTGTTGGAAGGTTTTTTTAACTACAAATTCTGTTTCTTTAACAGTTAAAAGTATCTGTTTTTATCTGAATGAGCTTTGGTAGTTTGTGTTTGTCAAAGAATCTGTCCATTTCATTGTTCTTGATTTCATGAGCATAAAGTTATTTATACTGTTCCCTTATTATCCTTTTAATGTCTGTAGAACCTGTAGTGTTGTCCCTTCTTTTATTCCTGATATTGGTAATTTTGTTTGCTCTCTTTTTTCTTAGTCTGCCTAGAAGCATTTCAATTTTATTGATCTTTTCAAAGAGCTACCTTGTTTCATTGATTTCTTTTTCTGTTTTCCTGCTAATTTTATTTCTGTTTATTTCCTTCCTTTTATGTGCTTTGATTTTATTTGCTCTTTTTTCTAGTTTCTTAAAGTGGATGTTTACATCATTAATTTGGGACCTTTTTCTTTCTAATATAAGCATTTTATGCTATAAATTTCCCTTTAAGTACTGCTATAGACACATCCCAAAACTTCTGATATGTTGTATTTTTATTTTTCTTCATTTCAGAATGTTTTTCATTAATTCTGGAAAATTCTCAGCCATTTTCTCTTACTATATTGTCTCTCCTCTCTTATTTTTGCTATCTCTATGGCAGTCTGTTTGACACAATTTGAAGCCTTCTTTTTTATCCCTTTGTTTCTTAACCTCTTTTTTATAATTTTTACTTCATTTTTCTTTAGTATTTTAATTTCCTCAGTTCTATCTTTAAGTTGGCTAATCTCTTTTCAACCTTGCCTAAATCCATCTATTAATATTTTAATTTTAATGTCTATATCTTTCATTTCCAGAAAGTCTATCTGGTAAATTTTTTAGTCTGTCCTTTCCTTTTCCATGTTAAACAGAATTTTGTAGTCTCTTACAGGTTATTTCATTTTATGAAAAATTCACAATATTGTCCTTCTATTTGTGCATCTGCTTGACTCTTCAGATGCAGTGTCTTGTTTTCTAAGTTTTGTTTTGTAAGTTTTGATTGGAACACACCTTTTTGAGACCCTCCCCTGAGATTTTTTTTCCCCTTCTCTGATAATTCTTGTAACCTGGATTATAGAAGCTTCCCTCCAGAGAGCTTTTTCAAATATGTTTTGAGAGTGTTCACAAGCATTTTTATATCTGCTTTAAAGTCTTTGTTAGATAATTTCAATATCTCCATCATCTAGCATTGATGTTTGTTGATTGCATTTTTCTGGTTCTTTGTATGCTGAAGGAATTTTGCATTGTATCCTAGACATTATTAGTATGACTTTGTGAGACTCTGGGTCTTGTTTAAATCTCCCGATTTGGTGGTCCTTCAAATTCTGGTCTATACCAGTGTGCCTGACTTTTCGGAGTCCTTAAATAGCTGCTTCATGCATTCTGTCCAGGTTTTATAGCTGCATTCAGTGGGAAAGAGGGGGTGGAATGTGCTTTTACTCCATCTTACTGGAACCTACCCTCCAGATGATTTTACATTTGCTTTATTCAACTAACACCAGCTCCTGACCTATTTTTATGTTAATTTCCTGAGATAGGAACCTCAACTTTAAATCTCAAACCTAAATTAGGCACACAGGTCTTAGTTTGAATTCTGAGGTGAGCTGAGCCCAGGAGAAACAGACAAAATTTCTTGCTGTCTTCCCATGTCAGTAGGCAGACTTTTTTCTAGTCTGTTCTTTCGGTAAGAATTTTAGCTTCATACAGGGAGTAGAGTTTTAGTCTCAGTTTCAACTCCCTTTCTATGGTGGATCCAAAGGGTTTTTTCCTCTCCCCAAAGGGAGTGTTAAAGACCTTTACATCAAGCTCTCCAGGGCAACTGCAGCATCTGACCCACTAGTTTTCTTATCCTTCTTTGTTTTGGCACCTGTGGATTTCCCTTCTTTCTTTTAAAAGTGGATGTTCATTAAAATAATATTTTAAGTTTATATTTTTATCCATCATTTATAAGGATTTGAAGCAACAAGATTTTCATATTTTCTTGATTACTATTTTTTGAAACAGAAGTACTTTCCATAGAATTTTTTAATCAAGTGATAGATACAAAAACAAAATTGGAGGCTCAAATGGGATAGTAACTCATTTATTGCTAGAATTACTGGAATTTTTTAATACACTTAACTGTAAATGTATATTTGTGTTTATATAGCACGTTTATATGTTTTAGGCTAGAAACTGTATCTACATTGAATCAGTATTAAGAAAGTTCCTGTTATCTCTTATGACTCTATAAAAAGCTGTGTTTGCTTTGGAAAAAATATTCTCAGTATAATGAAATTAATACTGGTTTCAGTAATTTTCAGGTACTGTGGAAAGGGCAATTTTAATTTTTGAGAACAAAAATAAAACCACTACTCTAAATAACTAAAAAGAACTGAGGTTTTTATGGTTATTTTTTTCTTTGTTTGATGTCTTACGTAGTCTTGGCATTCAGTGTAAAATTCAATAGGAATCTCACTTCAGATTTCTTTTTCCTTTCACTTGCAGTGGTTTCTTATCAGAAACATGTTCTCCCCTTCTTTCCTACCAGGAATGAGTAGCGACAGTGATATTGAATGTGACACTGAGAATGAGGAGCAGGAAGAGCACACCAGCATGGGTGGATTTAACGACTCTTTCATGGCACAGCCCCCAGATGAAGGTGCAGCACATGATGTCATTTCACAGAGATTAATAAAATCCTCTCTTCTGCTGCTGCTACTGCTTTTGCTTCTATTTCTACTTCTGCTGCTTCTTCTTCTGCTGCTCTGCTGTTTCTGCTTCTTTTTCTTTTTAAATTATTGTCATTTCTGAGACAGCATTCTTTGGGTTAAACTCAGTGGTGAGTACTGAAAAAATCTGGTAGGTAATATTTGGCTGGTCAGATACCTAATGGGTGCTACTTACTGGGTGGAGCAGGGGTTGGCAACCTGTTTTCGTACAGCCTGTGACCGAAGAATAGCTTTTACATTGTAAAGAATTGTAAAAAACGAAGAATTTTCAGCAGAGATCATTTGTGGCCTGCAGTGCCTGAATATTTACTATCTGCCTCTTTATAGAAAATGTTTGCCATCCCCTGGGGAGGTTTCAGATGTTTAATTTTTATTTTTTTTCTCTTCAGAGATATTTGTAGCCTAGCTAATACAGTGACTTTTTTAAAGATAACTTTTTCTGATTTCTTAAAAATTCATGCAGATTATGAAATCATTGATTTTTATTCCCCCTTCCTCCCAAAAATGTCTTAGGAAAAAAACTCAGTGAGAGAAGCTCATTGTTAGTAGTATTGTTTCGTTTTAGGTTTACAACCTAATGATTTGATATATGTGTATATTGTAAAATGATTACCACAATAAGTTAACGTTCATCACCCATTGTTAATATTTTATCTAGAGATCTTAATAATCACTCTAAGCATTTCTCTGCAGGATTTCCTGGAATTACAACATGGTCAGGCTTATGCTAATTGTCAGCTTTATATTTTACATATTTCCCTCATGTTCTAGTGTCTTTTTCAATACAAGGCCAAGCACTTGATGATTTTTAAGTACAGTCGTCCCTCAGTATCTGTGGGGGATTGATTCCGGGACCAACCTTCTGTGGATCCCAAAATCTGAAGATGCTCAAGTTCCTTATATAAAACGGTGTATGTAGTATTTGCATATAACCTACACACATTTTATTGTATATTTTAAATCATCTCTAGATTACTTATACAGGCGTCCCTCAGAGATATTGCCAGTTCAGTTCCAGACCACTATAATAAAGCGAGTCATGTGAATTTTTTGGTTTCCTAGTGCACATCAAAGTTATACTATGTTTATACTATACTATATTAACTACAATAGCATTATGTTCCCAAAAAACAATGTGCATACCTTAATTAAAACAGACTTTATTTCTAAAAGATACTAACCATCATCTGAGCCTTCAGCAAGTCATAATGTTTTTGTTGGTGGAGGGTCTTGCCTCGATATTGATGGCTGCTGAGTGATCAGGATGGTGGTTGCTGAAAGTTGGGGTGGCTGGGGCAATTTCCTAAAATAAGACAATGAAGTTTGTTGCATCGATTGACTCTTCCTTTCATGAACGATTTCTCTATAGCATGTGATGCTGTTTGATAGCATTTTACCCACAGTAGAACTTTCAAAATTGGAGCCAATCTTCTCAAACCCTGCCACTGCTTTATCAACTAAGTTTATATAATATTCTAAATCCTTTGTTGTCGTTTCAACAGTCTTCACAGTGTCTTCACCAGGAGTAGATTTGATCTCAAGAAACCTTTCTTTGCTCATCCATGAGAAGCAATGCCTTATCCATTAAAGCTTTATCATGAGATTGCAACAATTCAGTCACATCTTCAGAGTCTACTTCTAATTCTAGTTCTCTTGTTATTTCCGCTACATCTGCAGTTACTTCCTCCAGTAAAGTCTTGAACCCCGCGAAGTCATCCATGAAAGTTGGAATCAACTTCTTCCAAACTCCTGTTTAATGTTGATATTTCAACCTCTTCCCATGAATCACGAATGTTCTAAATGGCATCTAGAATGATGAATCTTTTCCAGAAGGTTTTCAGTTTACTTAGCCCAGATCTGTCAGAGAAATCACTGTCTAAGGCTGCCATGGCCTTATGAAATATATTTCTTGTATAATAAGACTTGAGAAACAAAATTACTCGTTGATCCATGGGCTGCAGAGTAGATGTTGTGTTAGCAGGCATGAAAACATTAATCTCATACATCTCCATCAGAGCTTTTAGGTGACTGGGTACATTATCTGTGAGCAGTAATATTTTGAAAGGAATTTTTTTTTTTTCTGAGTAGCAGGTCTCAACAGTGGGCTTAAAATATTCAGTAAACCATGTTGTAAACAGATATGCAATCATCCAGGCTTTGTTGTTCCATTTTATAGAGCACAGACAGAATAGATTTAGCATAATTCTTAAGGATCCTAGGATTTTCAGAATGGTAGATAAGCATTGTCTTCAACTTAGATTTGCCAGCTCATTAGACCCAAGAGAGTCAGTCTGTCCTTTGAAGCTTTGAAGCCAGGCATTGACTTCTCCTCTCTAGCTGTGAACATCCTATATGGCATCTTCTTCCAATATAAGGCTGTCCATCTACATTGAAAATCTGTTGTTTAATGTAGCCACCATCATTAATAATCTTACCTAGGTCTTTTGGATAACTAGCTGCTTCACCTTGCACTTTTATGTTGTGGAGACAGCTTTCCTTAAACCTCAGGAATCAGCTTTTACCAGCTTCAACCTTGTGCAGCTTCCTCACCTCTCTCAGCCTTCACAGGGTTGAAGAGAGTTAGGGCCTGGCTTGGATTAGTCTTTGGCATAAGGGAATGTTATGTCTGGTTTGATTTCTATCCAGACCACTAAAACTTTCTCCATATTAGCAAGAAGGCTTTTTGGCTTTCTTATCATTTGTGTGTTCATTGAAGTAGAACCTTTAATTTCCTCCAAGAACTTTTCCTTTGCATTCACAACTTGGCTAACTGTTTGGCACAAGAACCTTAGCTTTCAGCCTATCTCTGCTTTTGACATGCCTTTTCACTAAGCTTAATCATTTCTAGTCTTTTATTTAAAGAGAGAGATGTGCAACTGTTCCTTTCACTTGAACAATTAAGAGACCATTGTAGGGTTATTATTGGCCTAATTTTAATATTGTTGTGTCTCGGAATAGGGAGGCCCGAGAAGAGGGAGAGAGATCGGGCAATGGCCGGTTGGTGGAGCAGTCAGAACACACACAACATTTATCAATTAAGTTTGCTGTCTTATATGGGTGCAGTTTGTGGTGCCCCAAAACAGTTACAATAGGAACATCAAAGATCACTGATCTCAGACACAATAATAAATATAGTAATAATGAAAAAGTTTGAAATATTGTGAGAATTACCAGAATGTGACACAGAGACATAAAGTGAGCAAATGCTGTTGGAAAAGTAGCACCAATAGACTTGCTCAATGCAGGGTTACCCCAAACCTTAAATTTGTAAAAAATGCAGTTTCTGCAAAATGCAGTAAAGCAAAGCAGAATGAGACGAGATATGCCGGTAATACAGAATACAATGTAAATGCTAAGTAAGTAGTAGTTATACTGTATTGTTCAGAAAATAATGCCAAAAGAAAAGTCTGTACAAGTTAAGTACAGATGCAATAATCATAGGAGTTTCAATCCATAGTTGGTTGAATCCACAGATGCAGAACCCACGGGTATGGAGGGCCGACTCTATTGAGACACTTTGGTAGTTTTCTCTACTTCTAAAAGAAGCAGCCAAATAACCCAAAAAGTTATTTTGAGTGCTGATGGGTTTTTGTAGTGATATTTGCATGTACCACTTAATTGGCTTTGAAATAACATTTTTATGTTTACAAAGTCAGTCTTCACGTGTACATCATCATTTCCTGTTCCCTTCTACAGCTACTCCCACAGTGTCCCCAGGAGGACAAAGTGAAGCAGTGCCTTTCGTCTTCTAACTGTGGATATCTCTTACACATTTTGTTTGTTCTCCTTTGTTTTCCCTTGGTGTTTGCTTACACCTGACTCCGATCAAAAATTCTCTGAAGACAGAGATTTGTTAACAACCCAGCACATCTTTATCGCTTAAATAACACACTTGGTAAGATATTTAAAGACAAGTAAAAAGAAAATACTAGTTTTTGAGAAATGTTATCTGCTTTTAATTTTTTATCTTAGATACGCATTCCAGTTTTCCTGATGGCGAACAAATAGGCCCTGAGGATCTCAGCTTCAATACCGATGAAAACAGTGGAAGGTAATTTAAAAATCAAGAGAACTGACTTGCAAGCTACCTTGACTCTGAAATTTGCTGTAGTTGGTGCTCAAATTTGTCATCAAATAATCAGATTTGGTTTTATTTTTTTCATCATCCCTACGTGCAATAGTAATTCTGAAACTTTAGAAAGTAGCACAATTCTAGTATAAAGACATTAGTACACAGGAGAAAATTAACAGTGTGGGAAGAATTCCGTGTAATGTAATGAAATGCAAGTGTAGTCCTCAATTAATTTAGTAAATTAGTCTATTCATAAAAGGCAGTTTTTCTACAGAACAGAAGGGCGATTAACTGCCAGGAAATGCACCTGGAGACAATGCATGCACTCAGTAACCTGCTCAGCATCCGTGCTCTTTTGTCCTTGGCGAGACGCTCAGATGTGTTTAAATTGACCACTTTCATATTTTAGGTTGTCATCACAGTTTATAGTTTCATTAATGCCTGTAGATTACTGAACAGGAAAATTCCTCATGAGTAGATTCTTCCTTATAGACACTTTATGTGAATAACTCCAGTAACACTAGACTGAAGCTCCTCTTTGGAGTATGTTGACTGACTAAAGTTAATTTATTTATCTTTTCTTGTTTGTTCAAGTGCAGGCACACTGATTAATGGCACATAATCTTTCTGTCGTATGACTTTGACAAATGTAATTTTAAATGAATTATGTTAATGTGGATTGATTATGTTCCTGGTCATATGAACACATGTAAGATCATTTAAAATTATTTCATTTTTTCTGCCTCTTGTTAAACAACTATAATGCAACAAGTATTTTAAAACCCTCTTTTCTCCTTTGTTTTCATTGTAGTCAGACATTGATTTCAGTGTCGATACATTTAAAGATTTAAACATACTACACAGTGGCCTACATGAACTTGTGGTATAAGGTTTACTTTCATACTCACAACTAACCCAAAATAACTATGAAACTTTGCCGTTGTGCTCCTGCATTTGTTTTTGAGCTGCTATACTGTTTGTGAAAGTTACACTGAAAGTTGATGAAGAGACTATTAAGAAAGCATGAATATACATGTGAGAGGTATCTCATCTGCTCCTGTTTCACTTAGTGAATATTGTTCTCTTTTCCATGTTGGATGTCTTGCCGAATGCTGTGATTCATGGTTTGCTTTTGTTCAAAAGTTTGCACTTTTTGATAATAAAATGAACTTGAGAAAATATTATGCCTCTGCAGTTTATTAAAAGGGGGACAGGAAGCTCCCCTTTTTTCCTATTCATATTGCTTGTACATAACAGAGGCTCTTGAGCTGTGTAGACTGTTAGCAAACATATGGGGAAGTTACTTATTTTTATTTAGTTATTATTTATTTATGATGACATTTATAATCTCCATAATATATATGGTTACTTTTTCTCCTGAAAAGTTAGCTGGAAATATTAAAGTACTGTAATCACATGAGAAGTAAAAATTTAGCATTTGCTTACTAACACAATAGTGTTGAATGCTGTTGTATAGTTCTTAGGTGGTTTATCATGCAGTGCTCCAAAGCATTACTGATAAGTTCTTTAACACATTTCGTTTTCTCTTAGATGGAAATGTATTCATGTTCATTACATTTTGATGAGATCATACTTTTAATCCAGCTTTCTCTTTATCTCTATACTACATTGTAATGGATGAAACTATAATGTAAGAATTTTGCACCTTTAGTGTTGAGAGCAATCCATTGTAAGTAACAAGGCTCATTGGAATCCATAAACGCAAGTGTGATCAACTATACTTTGACTCTCTCACTATTACCTAGCTGTTTCTTGACCTGTATTTGATATATAACTGAGTGCTTTTCCATGTACCTTTGTAATTCTTTTTATTTTCAAATATGGAAAACCACATGTGGTTAAGAACCAAGAGAAGCCTGAGAATAGACTTTTCATTTGGGGAAGTTGTAAAAGCTTTTAGCACAAGTGATTTAATCATGAGATTCTCTTGGGTCATGAATCTGTATAATAGCATTTTGAGATGCCCTTCTGTCTTTTATTGGAGGGAGAATATCCTTTTTCTGTTTTTAATCATACATGTTCTTAGTCTTCGCTCTTATTTTTCATGACCTTGAGGTTTTTTAGTCAGTGGCTTCCACTAAATGGCATAGTGATATTTGGATCATGGTACATTTGGATCTGAGACATTTTTTTGGCTTGTCTTATGCTCTCCAGTTATGTATAAAAACAATCAAGAATGCTGCCCTTATTTTAGATGAATTGAGAATTGCTTGAGACTGTTTTTAAAGTGGTGGAGTTTGAGTTCACTGTATCAGCAAGACTGTTTTTGGTTGTCACAGCTATAGGAAAATTTGAAGGTATTTCTTTATGCCTGTACAAAAGCTTTGTAGGGAAAATTGTTTGAACTTAATGGTAAATTATCTTCTCATGTATTTTAGGAACCTAACCCATTCGTACCATATTCTGACTCCATATTTAAGGATAGAGTCTGTCTCTTGAAAAGCAAAAAAATAAATAAATAAATAAGCTTCCAAAGAAATGATATTGTAACTGCCCTCCTGGTATAAAATTCTTCATTTTTGTAATTAAAGTTGACAACAGGTTTCACCAAAAAAACGGAAACAAACTTGTAGGTGGCTAAAGGATGGACTGAGTACTTAAAAGCTATTCTCCTATGGTGAAGAAAAATCATGTCTGTTTCTTTGGGCTCCAGCTCACGTCAAGTAATTTTGTTTGTGAATTATAAAATAGAAATATGCAGCGTATACAAATTCACACAGTTCATTGAGGAAAACCTCTGGGATTCAACTAACAAGTATCTATCTGGCATTCTCTCTAGGGGTAGACAAACTACTTTCCTTGGGCCAAATCTCTACCACTGTCTATTTTTGTAAATAAAGTTTTATCAGAACATAGCCACATCCATTCATTTACAGATTGTCAATAGCTGCTGTTACCCTACAAAGGCAGGGTGGAGTAGCTGCTAAGAAACCTGATGGCCCCCAGAACCTGAAATATTTACTCTCACATTCTTTACAGATAAACTTAGCTGAGTTCTGCTCTATCCCTCACATTAATGGAAACTTCACATTTTTTTGGATAGAAGGTTTAAGTTTGAGAAAGCATGATTTTTAAGTCGAAAAGATCAAACACTTGATTAGTTGTTTTGTTCTTAGTTTTATGGTATGGGCTGATAGGCAGCTTCTGTCCCATTCATTCTAGAATCATAGTAAGTGAAAAATCAAAAGATTTCTTGAAAGATGAACCCGTTAGCTTTTAGTAGTGGGGTCTGTAGAAAGTGTAATTTCTTCCCCCATTTCTAGCCATGTTGCTAGGAACCCTTCTGTTTTCCCTCTTCCTTGATATGGTATGCCTGCCTTGGCTATGCTAGATTTTGAGTAGCAGTGAGGGATGGAGTTCCTTTTCCCTCTCCCCATTGGTTGTTCATGATCTGGTCTGCAAGAGGTCTGGTGCAAAAGAGATCTCTCTCCCATTCTCCCACTGGTAGCTGTCATCACTCACAATCTATACATGTCATGAGTAGTGAACTCAGATTTCCAATCAGTTGCTCTGATCTGCTTGTCCTACTTTCTGGCACTTTCTGTATCCTAACAAGAGTCCCCATCTTTTTTTTTTTTTCTTAAACTTTTCTCCCTTTAGCTGAAGGGCATAGTTTCTCTTAGTCTTTCCTTCTACCATTACTTTCCTTAAGTATTTAGTATTTTTTTATGTCAAATTCATTCCTGGAAAATTTCTCCTTAGTAATATTTTCTCTTAGGCCTAAAGATAAAGTAGTAATGCTTGTATTGTGTGCAAGCATATCATTTCTGGACAACTTTGACCTACTATGTCATTGAAACCTTAAGTAAACTTTGAGGGAGATGAGCTGTGTATTGTACCCACTTAGCAGAGAAACATGAGGTTCAGGGAGGTTCTGTGACTCTCAGGGTTCAAAGCTAGCAAGGATCGAATGAGTTGCGGGTCTAGTACTTTTTCCAGTTCACCACACTGGAACCAAACCCAGCATTTTGATACCTAATGATTAAAAACTTAAAAATTGTCTGATTTTTTTAACAGTTTATTTTGAGATAATTTTATATTACAAAAGAGATGCAAAAGTCTTGAGAGAGTTCCTGTATGTAATGTCTTATATAACCATAGAAGAGTGCTCAAAACTAAGAAATTAGTTTTGTTTATAGTACTGTTAGCTAAACTACGGAATTTGTTCAGATTTCATCAGTTATTTCACTAATTTTTTTTCTGTTCCAGGATCCAGTCCAGGATCTCGCATTGCATTTAGTTGTCGTGTTTCCTTAGCATCCTCCAGTCTGTGACAGTTCCTCGGTCTTTCCTTGTCTTTCATGCCCTTGACATTTTTAAAGAGGACCAATTGTTGTATAGAATGTTTCTCTATTTGGGTTTGTGTGATGTTTTCTCATATTCACTTGAGACTATGCTTCCCATTATATCATTGGGAAGCCTCCCCCAGAGGGATGGCCCGTTCCCCGTACATCATGTCAGGGGCTATATGACACAGATATTATTGGTGATGTTAATCTTGATTACTTGGTTAAGGTGATGTCTGCCAGGATTCCTCACTGTTTACTATATCCCTGCCTTTATAATTACTAAATATTTGGGGTAAATACTTAGAGACCACGCAAATATTCTGTTTTTGCTTCCATTCTTACCCTCTAATTTTAACACCCACCAGTGGATTGTGCCTACAGCATTTGTTTCTGCAGTGTTCTGATGGTGGTTTTCTATTTCCTTGATTTCTTCTATATTTATTATTAGAATTCTGTAAGAAAGGTTTGTCCCTTCTTCCTCACTTAGTTTTTTATTCAGCTATTTATTTATATCTGTGTGGACTTACAGATATTTATTTTATTCTTTGAGTTATGTTCCAATACTGTCATTATTTTACAGTTCAGTTTGTTCCAGATTTGGCTATTGGAAACTTGTTCAGATTGGCAACTGTATCGTGTTGATATGTTCCATACTTCTCCCTCCCTCCCATCCTCTCCTCCCCCTACAAGATGCTCCAGGCTCATCTCCTATTTTCCTTGCCCTTTTTTTGGTCAATAGTATTTAGAAACAAAGATTTGGGTGCTAATATGCTTATTGTTACTAGAGTGTCACTGCTTCTAGTCCCTCTCGGTGGATAGAATAGGAAACATACCTATACTTGCTCATGCAAACACATGTCCATGTGTATTTCTGTGTGTATCTCTGTATGTATTTATATGTAAATATATGTTTTAAGAAGAAAAACCATGAGTCTATATTGATAACCTACAACACCAGTCCAAGTCCACAATGCTCATTTTAGCCTTCCCTCAGCTTGGCTCTCATTAGCTGTAATGTATTTACTTCCTTGGTCAACCCTAATATACAAACCAAGTAGTTTTAGAGCTGTTCAACCTATACCCTTGTGAGAAATAAGTTTACCCAACTACAGTACAGTATTTGCATACAGTTTTTTTATTTTTAGCCTTTCAGTATCATGTCAAAACACTTTTCGAAAGTGATTTAGGTCCTAAGATTCAGAGTTACGTTAGTTCCTTCCTTCCCTATTCTCTTCAGTATGATTATGTGATTATTTGTAATACAGTTAGATTCATCTGTTATAGTCTGCTTTCTGTCCTCTCCCACACATCCTGGTTGATTTCTAAATTTACATATGTTAAAATTCAGTCTTTCTGGTATACAGTTCTGTGGCTTTTGACAAATACAGAGTTGTGTATCTGCCACCATACTACACAGAACAATTCAGTCACCCCCAAAATTCCCTTTTGCTGGCTCTTTATAGGTAAATCCCTCCCCACCACCCTCCAACCCCTAGCAACCACGATCTGTTCTCTGTCTTTGTAGTTTTCCCTTTTCCAAAGTGTCACATAAATAGAATCACACAATATGTAGCCTTTTACTTAGCAAAATGCAGTTGTTTCACCCATCTTGTTGTGTGCATCAGTACTTCATTCCTTTTTATCGCTGAGTAGTATTTCACTGTATGAATGTACCAGTTTGTTCATTTACCCATTGAAGGACATTTGGGTTATTTCCAGTTTAGGATGATTTGTGTAAAGTTTTCATTCTCTAGGGTAGTATATGCCTTGGAGTGGGATTGCTGGGTGTGTGATAAAGAATTTGTCTAGCCTTTGTCCCTGGTTCCTGGGATGTAGCCTCTAAGTGCTTAGAATTTCCTGTATGATAGGAGCATATTTGCTCTTTATGGTGGGTCCCGATAGCTTATGCTAACAAGATAACTCAGGGTGGGGGCTGGCCATGCCAGAAAGACTGACCATGTGATTAGGGGATTGGGGCTCTCAGTCACATGATACTAGCCTGAATATTTCAGCCTCCTTGCCAGTGAGTCAATCATGCTTATATAATGAAACCCCAATAAAAAACTCTGGACACTGAAGCTCATGTGAGCTTCCCTTTTTGGCAGTACTCTGTGTTGTCATTCGTTGATGTTTTAGTAGGGTAACATGCCCTGGTCACGAAGAAGCTTCACATTGGGACCCTCCTAGACCTCACCCTGTGCATCTCTTTCTTTTGCCTAGTTCTGATTTGTATTTTGCTATAATAAAACTGTAACTGTAAGTAAAGTATTTTCCTGAGTTCTGTGATTAGTTCTAGTGAATTATCAAACCTTAAGGGAGATAGTGGGATTTGTAGCCTACTGGTCAGAAACAAGGGTGGCCTGGGGACCCCCAAATTACAGTTGGTAGCTCAAGTGAGAGCAGTCTTGTGGAGAGCTCTGCTCTTTATCTGTGAAGTTTGACCTAACTCTAGGTAATTGGTGTCAGAACTCATTGCACTGAATCATGTGCTCAGTATATGCTTAACTTTGTAAGAAACTGCCAAACTTTTCCAAAAATGGCACTGCCATTTTCCATTCCCAACAGCAACATATGAGGGCTTCACTTGCATCCTGTAAGCACTTAGTACTGTCAGTGTTTTTAATTTCAGCCATTCTAATAAGTGTAGTGATTCTCATTTTGCTGGTTTTTTGCTGAGGATTTTTGCATCTATATTCATGAGGAATATTGGTCTGTAGTTTTGTTCTATCTTCATCTGATTTGGTATCAGTAATGCTGACCTCACAAAATGAATCTTCTCTTTTCTAGAAGAGAATGTATGGAATTGATGTTATTTATTCTTTAAACGTTTGGTAGAATTTACTAGTAAAACCATCTGGAAGGCGATTTCTTTTTCCAAGGTGTGTATTTTTGGTATTTATCCTGCTTAGTGGTCTCTGAGCTCCTTGCTTTTATGGTTTGGTGTCTGTTATTAATTTTGGAAAATTCTCAGCCATTATTTCTTCAAATATTTCTTCTGCTCCATTGTCTTTCTCTTCTCCTTCTAGGATTCCAGTTATACATATGTTAAACTAATATGTCCCACGGCTCTTATGTGTTCTGCCCTGGGTTTATTTTGTTTTTGTTTTTGTTTTCTCTTAGGTTTCAGTTAGGGTAATTTTTATTGCCTTATCTTTAAGTTTATTGACTCTGCTCAGCAATGTGGAGTCTACTTATTAGCCAATCGAAGGCATTCATCTCTGAAACAGTATTTTTCATTTCTAGCATTTGTTGATAGTTTCTGTCTTTTTGCTAAAATCACCCATTGATCTTGCATGTTCACCATGTCCATAACATATTAACCATAGTTATTTTAACTTTTTTTTTTTTTTTTTTTGAGGAAAATCAGCCCTGAGCTAACATCTGCCACCAGTCCTCCTCTTTTTGCTGAGGAAGACCGGCCCTGAGCTAACATCCGTGCCCATCTTCCTCCACTTTATATGTGGGACGCCTACCACAGCATGGCTTGACAAGCAATGCCATGTCTGCAACCAGGATCCAAACCGGTGAACCCCGGGCCACCGAAGTGGAACATGCACACTTAACTGCTGTGCCAGCGGGCCAGCCCCTAACCATGATTATTTTAAATTCCCTTGTCAGTTCAAAAATCTTTGCCATATTGGACTCTGGTTCTGATGATTGCTTCACTCTTCAGAATACATATTTTTCTTGTTTTCATATGCCTCTGTATATTTTGTTGAAAGTGACATGTCTTGTGTAGGACAGTAGATAGTTTGGTGAATAGTTTTTGCACCTAAAAACGGGCAGGCCTTACATGCTTCTTAGACCTTTATTGCAAAGTTTGAATGACTCTAGTTAGTAGTTGTGCTTGGTTTGTGATTCATCATTGTCATGATGAACCTTGATGGCTTCAAGTTCCTGTAGCAATACATTGCATTTCTGATTGGGGTTGGATTGCCAGAGCAATGTCTCTTCCGTACGGTGCCTCAAAGAGCTGTTAAGTCTCTTTGCCTGCTTTTGTTGCTCTCCTGTCTGTCTCCCAGAACTATTCTGTTATTTGAAGCCTGACTGGAGGCAGGGGAGGGACTGGCATTCTTGGATTAAACTGCAGTTTTAGGCACTGTGTGTGTCTATTGACTTGCCCCTCCCCAGCTAGTTGAGGCCCAGTGATATTCCTGCCTCTTCCCCAGGGGTAGGGTTTTTCTTTCCTGTTCCCTTCCCTCAGCTGCAGTGACTTTTCACCAGTGCCCTAAGGGTTGGCAGTATTTGTGGCCGTTTTCCCCCATAGGATAATACTTGTGTTCTACAGAGGAGATAGGAGAAAGGGTCTGGCAGAGTTTCTTGACCCTCCTACAAGGCTGCTCTACCCTGCTCCTGGGTCTTCATCACAATTGACACTTCTTAGGGCTCTTTCCAATATTTTCTGTGAGCACCTAATAGAATTTGTGAAAAAATGCCTACAGGAGAGTGCAGACTCCCCTAATTTCGGCAGCCCTCGGGACTCCACACTGTCCTGCCAGTCCATACTCTGCCTGCACCAGTTCATCACTTCCCCGAGCTGAACAGTTTTTTCCAGTGTCTGCCCTATGTAAATTAGTGCTGATGGCCCCACTCTTGGAGCAGGCACCTGTCCCTCTTTAGATTTGGGGCCATTTGCTTACTCTGCAATCTCAAGCTCTCTGATGGGTTTGAAAAAAGTCATAATTTGAAGTTAATCTGGCTCTTTTTTTCATTGGAAGAGTGGCAGCAATATTCCTTTTAGCTCTACATCCCAGAGTAGAGGCTGCAAGTACTGTGATTTAAAAAAAAAAATGTAATTATATTTGTTGAATTAAGAACATAAGTGTAATTAATTTCAAAACTACAATTCAGAAAATAATGAACCATTTTTAATTTTCTATTCAAAAGGATTTTTTATTTTTGTTTTTTAATAAAGGTGATAAGATTATAGAAAGTTTGGAAGATAGGAAACTCTAAGACCTGTGTGTGTGTCTGTGCGTCTGTACACACGTGCATGTATATTCCTTTTAGTTGTGGTGATATTTTTAGATTTCTCCTTATTTACTTCTAGTTCCCACATCAACCAGTATATGGCTTCAAAGTCTAGATTTATATAATTTTTAAAACTGTCTAGGGAGGCTTACGAGCAAATGGTAACATCAGTCATTTTATAGTTTGGGACATAAATTGTGTGGGCTGCTCTATTTCTAAAAACCCTTTTCTCCGGCTGGCACATTTATTTGTTTTTTTCCTGTTACAGGGAGTCTTGTCTTCTGTTCCTGCTCTGCAGAGCCTCTGCCCAGCCAGAGCCCTTGCCTGAGTCCTGCAGGGCAGTTAAGTGTGTCTCCTTATGTACATTTAGAAAAGCCGCTTCATAGGCCTCCCTCCCATTCCGTTCCATTTGACCTGGTGATCCCAAGGCAACTCTTACTCGGCTTAATTGCCACCTCAGTGCTCTAGTTCTAGGATCAGCCAGTGTCACAACTGGCAGGGACAACTTTTGCATCTTTGGTTAAACTCCAGTTACTCATTTGGAAGATAGTTTCTCCAAATATGTATCATTCCTGACAGTTTTTCACATTTATTGTTTCCCTGGTCCTAAAGCAGGATCAGAAAAATCAGAAACTGGGTGAGGGCGCTGCTTGCACCACAAAGTGGGCATGTCTCGTCGGGAGGTTTGCAACTGGAGGTCTTGGGCAGCATCCTACAGCTCAGCGTAAGAGGAATGCTAAACCCAGCTGCCCAGCACAAGAGCGCTTTCTTACTGAGCAACACCTAAGAGTTCGGGGTCTCAGAGAAGAACTAGATTTGTTTGAAATATAAATAAGAAAGGATCTTCCATAAGATTTTTCCTAGGCCAAGCAAAAGTAGGTTTTCTAAAAGCACACTAGAAGAGTGTTCTTTAACAACTGCTTTCAAGATGACAGAGAGCAAACTTGTAATCAAAAAAGGAAATGTGGGGGCCGGCCAGGTGGCGCAGTGGTTAAGTGTGCACGTTCTGCTTCGGCAGCCCAGGGTTCGCTGGTTCGGATCCCAGGTGTGGACATGGCACTGCTTCACAAGCCCTGCTGTGGTAAACATCCGACATATAAAGTAGAGGAACATGGGCATGGATGTAAGCTCGGGGCCTGTCTTCCTCAGCAAAAAGAGGAGGATTGGCAGCTGATGTTAGCTCAGGGCTAATCTTCCTCAAAAAAAAAATAGAAAAAGGAAATGAACAGTTAAACACCATATCAGTCCAGGCAATCATATCTGATCATTTGGTAACATGGGTAAATTTCTATTAAATTCAAACGATTTCACTATACCTAGTGGTTCACTCACCTTGCTGTGTCCTGCTGCTTCAGAAAGTGATGTTCCTTTTAAAGTAATTCTGTATTTTAGGAGATTTTTTTCAAATATAAATAATACTTATTATCAAAATATTCCTTTCTTTCCTTTCCTGCTTCAGGACACCCCTTCAAATATATGATTCTTTCAGACCTTCACTTTTTTCCTCAATTCTTGCTGCTTTGGGTTCTATATAAAATCATACAAAGTGGTGAATGAATTTAGGGAATTAAGAGTTTAAGATTGTTAAAACTATGTGAAATTAATTTTCTAGGACTTAATGTTGGGAAGAGGGGAATAATAATGCAGTGTGTTTACTAGGTTTACTGCCATTCCCTTAGACACAGGTGTCTTGCTTTTATCAGCTTCACTTCCGTCCCCCACACTCTTTCTGTCTCTGTCTCCTGTTACTCTCTTAACAGCAATCCTCCAGACAGACTTTCAGCCACAGTTCACCTAATTATTTTCTTCCAGTTTGAAACTAAAAGGGGAAAGACTAAGAGGAAAAACTTTGGTTGGCTGCAGAGTTTGAAGAATAAAGTAGCTGGGAGATTTGAGGAATCAACACTTAGCCCTTGGCAGGTCCTTGTCTATTTTAGGACACTAACCTTTCTGTCTCCCTCTCCCCACCATTAAACTTATGGGAAGAACATGTATAGGATGAAGTATCTCTCTTTTGGGTTTTCTGGGGAGGAAATCACAGTTATAGCAGCACTTAGCAAATTTTCTTTTTAAATGTTCCTACTTTAAAGTTTAAGAAAACTACCACCTCAGGATTTTATTTTCAGTTCTGAGGGAATCGGCGTAAACCTCTGCACTAAATAACTTATCTTTCCTTTCAATAAGAAGACAAATGACTAGTGGTTTTAAATTGCTGGATTTTTATTAAGATATTGGCAAAATTTCAACATACTTCTTACTTGAACAGTTTTGATAAATAAAATATGAAGGATCACTCATGGTTACAACTGAACTCAAAAGTGAGCTGTAGAACAGGTTTGTAGATTGATAAATTCACTTGGTAAGAAATGATTCACTTCATTCGCCTCACTCCATAGAGAATTCTTTGCAGAGAAATGTCATGAACAAGAGAACAGAGCCTGTCTCTCACCAAAGAGCACCTAGAGTAAGAGTTAACAGTGACGTATCTGCGGATCACCTAATACATCAAAGTTTGTTAGGGTATTTCCTTTTCCAGAACAACTGTTGTGTCAGTCTGGAGTTCCCTATCTTGTTTCATGTTTTCTAATTAGTACAATAAGTAGTCTTCAAAATAGAAGATAAAATGCTGCTGGAGGAAGTAACTTTTCAACACAGTACCATTTGTCTGGAAAATAGTCATAATACTGGTGGTATCTTGTTTTGAAAAAAAACATTTAAGCTATTCACAGGTCAGAACAGAACAGTGGGTATTTGTCCTTTAACATCACATGATTTTAAAAGGTGAAAAAATTATGTTCTTTTGCTAATTTATGTTCTAAAGAAAAATTGTCCCAAGTTATGGTGTGACCAAAACTATAGTATCCCCTTTTATGGCCTTGCTTAGATGAGAATGATCATTGAGTGAACAAATTGTGTTTAAACGTTAAAATAATTTAGATCACTTTCTTACAAAGCCTCAGCAAGACTTCAATGGGGAAGAAAGTACTTGAACCACAGCAGTTTTATCCGTAAACACTGAATTTCTTTATGCATCGTTTTCATCTGCCCATTGGATGTTGCACTTCTTACTGGCACAGTGTTCCAACAATGGAGTGTGGTTGTCATGAAGATGCAGCGTGACACTATACCACCACATTGACATTATACCACTGTAAATGTGGTCAGAATCAGACTCAGTGTTGACATTGACATTGTTGACACTGTCCTTGGAAAAGGTGTTACTTTCCAGGATCCTCCTAGTTAAATTAAATGCAACAGTAATCGTATTAATTCACGGAAAATGGATGGCACTTCTAAGTAAAGAAAAGGTATATACATTTGTGTTTCCACCATCCTGTTTAGTATAGACCTAAATGGGATTAATAGCCCCAGTGTTTGGTGCTGTAATCTTAGTTAACCTCATATAAATCCCTCAGAAGTACACATCCAGAAAGTGAACAAAGGAAACCTTTAAATTAGAGATTAATTCCCTTTGAAACTCACAGTGAATGTACAAGGAGTTGGTAATGACTTCAGTTGGTGACTTGAAGTCTGTTTCCCTAACCAGTACTACACTTTCTTGTTTATATTCATTTTACTATTTCCTATTCTAACAAAACTTCAGCAGGCAAACAAATCGATGCAAATCATGTTAAATTGAAAAAGGGATACTGCCACTCTGAAGGATTGAATGTAGAACTTTCACCACCACTAAGTTACACAATGAATAAAGGTACAAAACACATAGTTCACAGACTATACCTCAGCATTAACAGTTAATATATATTATATAGATACTTTTATATCTGTCTAATATTTTTACAATCACCAGATACACCATCATTAAATACAAGTTACAGAAATGTGTAGATACCATTAGTTAGAGGGGTACTTATTGCTTACGTCAGCAAGCAGCAAATAAGGGCACAGGATTTGAACTGAAGGGAACTACTTTCTATCACCAGTGGCATTAAGATATAACACTGCATTTCACAAAGCACTGCTTTTTATCTAGTTTATAGAACCAAGAGCAGCATATGTCAGACCAATAACCACTACTTTAATATGTATTATAGAATTTTAAAGGACTTACCTTACAAATGGTAGCTAACTATAAATATGTATGTTGTGAACAAATGAATAGTTGCTATTTTTTACAATATTGGTTTATAACTTGAACATACTAGAACTACTTTGCTTTATTTTCTAGAGGGCTACTGGTATGAGAAATGGAGTTAACACTGCTTATGTAGTCAGACCTACAAAATCCAGACCCTTAAAAGATGTGGTCTATGTTTGTCCCACTTTCATCCATTGTTTCCCCACTGGAAAAACCTGTCACTTGTACTTTCTTTCTTTTCACCTTTTTTATTCTGATCAAAAACATTAGCAATAGACAAATAGAAAATCTATTAAAAAAAAAAAGTTTCTTTTTAACTTAGCCAACAACTTTGGACTATATAATGTGTACCAATATTCTGCTGTCTCTGTTTTGTTTCCTTAGATAATGTGATTTGAAACTGACACTGCACCTGATGGGTTGTTAACAAGATCTAGGCTTCAGAAAATGACAGAAGTGAGTGAGGTCCGTATATGGGGGTAAAGCATCAGGATGGTAAACAGATTCTGGTACTATAGTTGGAGCCATGTTTACTCCCTCCTTTTCAGCCATGTGTCACAAGAGAAAAGAAGCAATGACAAATACTGAAAATCTCTACTTCCAAATTTTTAAAAATAAAATCTGTAGATTAACAATCTGCTCATTTCTAAAGTGTAACTATTTTTATTTATTTATTTGATATAACTATACTGGCACCCAAAATATGGTACAGTCCTCTGTTTTTAAAGGCCAGGAATTTTAGCCCTCCATTATGGGTGTGGGGAACATGAAGTAATTGTATTACTATATAAAAACATGATTAGGCAGTGGACATTCCTTAGCAAGAGCATTTAATGCCTCCTAACAGTGTGAGTGACTGAGCACTATAGCGGGCAGCTCCTGTCCCTGGGCATGGCTGGTCCACAGTTGATAGGGGAGGGTAAAATGTCACTTGGAGACATTCATGATTCTCAGAGAATCAGAGGCTGCTTCCTCAAATGAATCTGATTGTTAGTTGTTTGCTGTCTTTAGTTGAAGATATGCTCTGGCTTGAAACTGCAAAAATGGCAAAAAGCAGACAATTTTAAAATATCAAATATAAATATTGAAATGAGAAACACATGTCCTGTCTTTGCAGTCTGAAGTTGCATGAAGCAGGACTCCAGAACATTCTCCATTTATAACTAAACAGACCTCAGTCTTAGTCATCTGCATTCTCCTTTGCACTTGGCCTCTGGGCTCACTTTAGGCAGTACTTTCAGCCTCCTCCACACCAGTTACTTCATTCCTTTGGGGGAAACAATTCTAGAGAAGTTAAAACAAGTATTTTTCATTCTCCAAAACCACTTTTTATCTTATAGTAGTATATGCCTTTGCAGTCTGTGAACTTAAAAAAAAAAGGCAGAAAAAATAGAAATACTATTTGATTTTCTTTTTAAATGGCAACTTGATTCTAGTATATTTGTACCTGACATCATCTCCATTAAACTAGTTTTATTCCTGAGATGAAGGTACAGTGAAAAACATATTAGCATCACAAGTTAAAACCAGTCTTCTAAAATGACAAATAATAAAAATTCCACCAAGAGCACCATAACAGGTTATGAAACTCCCACATAGCTACAGCCCTAGGAAATACTTTTTAATTCAAAAAATTTTCATAGTCTATTATGTTACAGAAAAAAAAAATCAGTAAATCTTTTTGACTATATACTGCCTCACAAGTCTGAGAATATGACATTTTTACACTGGTTTTCTACTTTCATTGTTACCAGTTAAGACCCATATGGCTTTTAGTCTTTTACCTACTGAAAAAAAAGGGAGAAGAGTTTCCTTTATAGTTCTGTCTTTTGAGAAATGTTTCCCAACTAAATCAAATTCTGCATTGTTTTCCATAGATATATTAGGCACATCAGACCAGATTTCAACTGCGTTGAGATTTCAACACTGTAACCTGACTGAAATAACTAACTTGCAAGCTTCCACTAGTGGCGTGAAGGGCAGTGGGTGAGGGTTGTGTGTAGGTGTGGCGACACATCACAGGGACCAGTTGTATAATTTTGCTAGTGAAACCGCCAATACTTTTTTAGATTGAAAACACTATTTTGAGTTTCCTAGAGATCAATTTACATTTAAGAATTGAGCCATCCATGGTTTTATAATGAAGCACATATATTTCAGAAATGTATATCTTGTTTCTACTCTTATAGTGGTGTTTTTATTGGGGGGAGAGCTACCTAGCCTACTTGAAAGAGAAAGTATTATATTTTATAGCTCCAGGGAAGATCTGGGTATGGCATATCGTTACTCTTTCTGAGCTTCCTCATCATGTTTTCACTGCACCCTTTCCAACTGCTTTGCCTCCATGGCAGAGAACTTCTCAACATCCTATTTCTCTTCCCACTTTGAATAAGTGAGAACAGGCTAGTGCCTATTTTGTGGGAAGGCTCTCGAGCAGAGAGAAATGAATAAAACTTTGGATTAAACCTGAATCCATGCCACCTCTTTGAGTAGTGGTAACGTAAATGAGACAATCTAGAAACTCTCTTTCCCAGGAATTTGAACTGTTCATTTTCCAACCTAGAACAGACAGGAGACAAGCTCTCCATTCTGTATATCTGTTGCCCTTTTGAACCCAAATTAAAAGAAGAGGGAAACTCTCCAGCACCACTCCGTTCAGGCAATGATGATTGAACTGATTTTTTCTCCATTATTAGCTCATTAATTAGATTTGCTTTCTTTGGTGCACCAGGACCAAACATCTCAACTGGTGGCAAAAACTGGACACTTTGAGGTTTGCTTGCTTCTATTTGAGTGAGATCTAGGTAGCCTGGGTCTTCCAGCACGTTGATTTGGGACCCTGGGCTCAGGCTAGTTCTATCAGTGAATGAATCCACACGCCCATCATAGCCTAGATCGGCTGGTGCTGAGCACTGGTGCTGAGGCCAAGGGCGTTTGCACTCTCCATGATTCTCCTTATCATCCCCACCATCTTCTTGCCCTCCTTGAAAAGAGTTCTCTGTCCAGTCTGATTCCTCACTAACATTTACAGCTTTGTTCATGTCCCTCAGGAATACCACAATAACAGTGATGTTATCACTTGACCCGGCATCACGAGCTGATGCCACTAATTTGTGGGCAACCATGCTGCTGTCTCCATTATTCTCCTTCAAGTGGTCAGACACAACTTTCACTGCCTCATCGGGATTCACGGTGTCATAGAAGCCATCACAGGCTAGAATGAGGTAGTCTTCAGTTCCATCCAAAACAGTAGATGCAGAATCTGCATCCCCACAGATATATGGCTTATGTTCAGCATCTCCTGTGGGAATTAGAAAGTAGGTCAGATTTTGGTTTACTTTACGTGTATGAACGTTTATGGCCAATACAATGATTTGATCACAGTTTACTGATTGTGATCTGAATTTACTGAAAGTAATTTGTAAACTAGTTTTAGATAAAATACTTGAATTCTCTGTTAATCAAATGCTGCTCACTCCTTACTCTCAGTTAAATAATTGCCATTCGCTGGGCTTAATCTCTTATCTAGCTTAGACTCTGAATCTTGTGCCTCTAACTGTAATTTAGGCTAAGCTGAGCATGGCAACAAATGTCAAATCTAAATTTGTTGCTGTATTGAAAACTTCAGTCCTACATAGGAAAACTTTGTTGATTTAGTAGATGTGTACTTTTACTGGTGGTTAGGTTTGATTTAACTAAGATTTGAGAACAAGTCCACATTGAAAAACCAAAATTCCGATCACTGTCTTTATTAAACACTTAATTTTTGTTCTATCCTTGTTTAGAAATCAGTAACTCCATGCTATGAGCTCAGAGGAAGGTTTGAGTTACAAGGGATTTTAAAAAATCAAGTCCCACTCCCTCAGGCCAGGAAAAGTCACCCCAAGCTTCAGACAAGGGACTAGAATGTAAGTCTCTTGGTTCCCAGTCCAATTTGCTTCCTGTTTTTTAATGCTGCTTTACCTGTAACTTTTAGAGAAAGTCAGGAAATGACCATTTTTCTCTTGTCTTCAGGGACCACCATATACCTGCTTTCTTCATATGTCTCTGATTGTTCCCCCCTTCTGTCTTTATTGCTATTGTTCATTCTCCATTTATGAACAACTGTGAGAACCCAAGGCCCTAATGGGCTTTTAAAAATTTCTATCTTTTCTTTCTTAGCTCATCCACTTACAGAATGACATTTGAGTTGGGCCCTGAAGGATAAGTTAGTTATCACCTGGCAGAGAAGGGCCCTCCAGTTGAGGGAACAGCATTAGCAAAGACCCAGAGGCAACCGTTAAGGAGTAATATGTAGTTGAATATAGGGTGTTTGGAGTGGAAACAGACTGGAGACCTTCAGGCCCACACTAAGCTACATTTCTGTCACCAGACTACTGTGATTATCGATCATCTGCAATGCCTTTTGGAACTTTCAGATCCAGAGCATTTCCAAATAGATTTGTTGTTTTCATTCATTGTTTGCTTTTAGGTTCTTGGAGAGAGCCTAGCAAAAGTGTCCTTAGCCTATTGGGTAACCAAATAACTTACTTCTGCAACAAGGTATACTCATTTCTTCTTTACATAAAAAAAGAGTCTTGAGCAATAATACCTAGATTAGGGTATCATAATTATCAGTAAACAGTATTTTTTAAAAATATTTACAAAGTACTTTATCATTTGTAAAGTAGTGGCATATAGCTTAGTGGTTTAGGATGCCAGCACTGGAGTCAGACAGCCTGGGTCCAAATCCTAGCACTTGCTACTTAAAAACCCTTCTCAATTGGACTATCCTTTCCATTGGACTAAACTGAATTTGACTAGGGGAAGATGAAATGAAGCTAAATGCTTACTTAAGTGATCTGGCTATGTCATCACTGTTTCTAGCATCTATTATAGGTTCTCTCCTACCCATGTAGGGTTCTCTCCAGCGTTTCACATACCTGTTTAATCTTCAGATAGGCCCAGAAAGCTCAATAGGAACCCTATGGATACCTTCACTAGAACAATGTGGGCCAGATGCCCTATCCAGCAGGTTTATTATCTAGGTTAGTTTATCTATAAAGTAAGAAACTAGTCTTTTTCATTCAGTAGCCAGAACCATCTTCCTCAAGCATGGTTTTGATTTCATCAACTTCACTTCTGTACTCTGATGCCTCCCAGTAGCCTGTTAGAGCTAATTAAAACTTCCAATCATGGGATTCAGTGTCCTCCACCAATCCACTTTACTAAATTTCCCCATCCCTTACTCCACCTGACTATTATTATCATCATTATTATTTTCTGAACTCCAGCTCTAAAAATAAATGTGATCTGAGTCATACTGTTCCCAAAAATCTTGTTTTAGTGATTCAATTAAGAGGCTACTGCAACTCTTAGTTTGGAACAGAACATACAAAGATTTGCACAGAGAAAATGCTGCCAAAATTCTGGCTTTTCACCTGCTCTACTGTTGGATGTCAAATTCATGACATTTCGCCCCCAAATTTGGTAGGAGGGCATGATTATCCATTTCATGGTAGAAATGGCAACATCCTTTTGTCTTCAACCTCTTCTCTCCATATGCTAGGAAACATATCATGCTTCTGTCAACTTTGGATCATAAATCTGAAGGGCTCATGGGGAGAAACAGTTGAAAAGCTTTTCATTTTTAAAGCTTTAAATACCATTCATTTTCTAAGTAGAGTTGAACTCTGCTCAGGAGTCCTTTTTCTTGTCCCTATTTAGTCCCCTATTTTATTCCATGTGCTCTCCAAATATTTCTCACATTCTTCAACACCCTCTTCCAATTAAGCTACTGGATTCAGTAGATGGCCTAATTTCCTACTTCAGAGAAAATTAAGTTTATCAGGCCTGAATTCCCTCAATTCCTCCCCCCATCCTAATTTTTTTTTTAATCTGTAGAGATTCACCTATATCAGCTACCATTTTCTCAGAGTAAGAGCTGTCCTTTCTCTTCTCAAAGCTAACCTGTGCTGTCTCTCCAGGACTCTGGCTTCTCTCTCTCATCTTCAAGTTCTCGTCTACCTGCTGTCTTCTTTTATCCTACAGACATGCCCTGATCTAAAATCTCTTCATCCTAAAAACACAAACAATAAAAGCAACTCTTTCCCAAATCAGCTTTTCCCTCAAGCTACCACACTATTTCTCTTTACCACCAAATTGCAGAAGAAAGTAAATCTACACATGCTCCTTTATGTTATCACTCATTTTCCACCATCTGATTGTTTTCTGGTTTTCCCACCTACTAATCCAAATCATTTCTCTCTTACCACTCATTTCCTATTTTCAAAATTCCAGGCTTTTAACCCACATCTCACTTGACCTCTGCAGCACTTGACCCTGTTGACTGCTTCCTCCTAGAAACCCTCTACCCCTAGCATCTGTGATACCCCACTTCTGTATCTCTGATCTCTTCTTGATTTTCTTCACTGGCTCCTTCACTTAATAATAGCACTGTAACAATCACTGTGTGCTACAACTGTGCCAGGCAGGGTTCTAAGTCTGGTGTGTATATTATACCATTTAATACAAAAACTCCATGAATTTAGGTACTGTCACTATTCCCACTTTACACAGATTAAGTAAGTTTCCCAAGGCCCATAGTTTGTAAAGTAATAGAGCCAAGATACAAACCTAGAGAGCATGACTTCATTATGTTATTCTGCCTTAAGTAATGAGTCTCAGCCTTGGTCTCTCTCTTCACACTATATATTCTTCCTGGGCAATGTCAACCATGCCTATAGTTTCAACTACCGTACATATATATATATATATATCACTTCACAGGTTGCTAATACTATTGCCAAAATGGGATGAGTTCCCAAATCTCTAGCTCCAACTCAGAACTCTGCTAAGCTCCAGATCTGTATTTCTAACTGCATGTAAATTATCTCTCCCAAGACATCCCGCAAGTACCTAGAATATAAAATATATCCAAAATGAACTCATTATCTGCCCTCCTCCCCACCCCCCAAACCACTGCTTCTTAGTACAAATGCTCTATCATCTTCTCAGTCACACAAGTCAGAAGCCTGGAAGTTAGCTTTCCTCTTTTCTCACAAATTGCCATTTGTTTCATCAATGTATACCCTCTTCTGTGTCCTTTTTTAGCTGTCCTCATCTCTGTAACAAGCTGTATCAACAGCCTCTTGAATGGTCTCTTACCTAGGCTTTCTACTCTAGTCTGTCTTCCATTCCGTCATCACACGTATCTTATAAATACAAACCTGATCATCTGGCCCCTCTGCTTATTCACCTTGTAGGATCCAGATTACTTCACCTGGCATATAAGCTCCTTCACAATGTGGCACCAACACATTACCACTGCCACCCTCTGCCGTAGCCTTCTGTACTTGTTGCTCTCCCTAAAACATGACATGCCTTTTCAGACGCCCATGTATTTGTACTCCCCTATACCTGGAATTTCTTCCCTAAACACTGTCCACATCTAACTTAAAGGTCACTTCCTCTGAAATCTTCCTTATTCTGTTTTAGATTGTCACTTATTCAAGGACATTCTTCCCCTGCTTTAGTTTCCCCTTGGGTTATACTTTTAGAAGCAAAAAAGGGCAAGTATCTTCTAGTAAAATTGGTTCTATAACTTTGGTTGCTTCTATAAGCATTAAAGATACCTCTCAATACTCTAACAGTAAGATTGTGGAAGAGGTCTCTGGTTGGAGCTGTTAAAAATAATTCTACATGGGGAGTAATAAAAAATAAAATTATTCTACATGGGGATATGTTTTAGGAATGAGAAATTATCCCTTTTTGGCCTTATTCCAGAGTCCCTAATAGTGCCCTCAGTTGTAAGGTAAAGCCAACTCTCAATTTTTTGGGAAGTATTTGCAGAATCTTTTAGCTTCCTCTTTCTCTCTCAGCCTTCTGCTGCTCACATTTGGGCCACTTCACAGCTTGCCAGCACCTTCCCAAAGAGTGGGAGGAACTCACATCAGTGGTGAAACTGAATTAATCCTTTGAGATTTTGTTGATGTTCTGGAATTTTTTGGCAATGATAAGCAAAATTTGTAGACGAGATGTGAATTCCATTTGTCCATGTTATCATTATGTCAAACTACTTCATTTCTTTAGGAGGCAGTGACAAAGACCTGCAGTATATATGCATATCACCCATATAGACACATTGATTTATTCTTTTTTTAAAACCAGAAAATGGAGCTAAACCATGAAGCCTAAAATAATAAACCCAGGTGTCAAAGTAAAACAAAGGCATAAACAGGACTATAGCTCAATTCTTTGAACTTATAAACCTTTGCATTTTGTCCAATCAACTTAGCTGTTTATTCTCTAAGTTTTAGATAGAGTTTCATTGACTTTCCCCCTCTTTTGAAGAATTTAGGTCCCAAGGAGCCAGATTCTTTGAAACCCCAGGGTTATCTGGTAAATTACTCTACTCCACATTTAGAAACTTGTTTTCATCTAAAAAGCACAATGTTTTTATTCTCTGTTATGTCATAGAATTCATTGAAAAAAAATTTAAAGATATAAGCAAGATAAAATATGGACAGGGCTTCCATTTTCTGGAAAATACTAATTGAACCTAAATATGACCCAAAATGGAATAAAATGAGGATCAGTGTGGTTTTAAGCAGATTTGTGTATGAAAGATTAAAGCTTTCCATTAAAAAAAAAGAAACTAGTAAGTTCTGCATTTCTTAGTATAGTTCCCTTTTAATAATGGAATTTAAGTATATAAATGAGTAGGTTAATTAAATCAAATAATTAAAAGAGGCATTATCGGATTGTTATTTTAAACAATAGTAAGCACTCTGGTAATATAAATTACTGTCTCGGGTTCCCTTTTTGTATCAGTTAATAGAAAACAATGAGCTAGAAGAGGACAGTTTGGAGAAACAAAAATTAATTGGCTTTTCCTACCAATAGCTCTGGAGACCGATAGACTTCCATTCACCCTCCAGGCACCAAACCAGACTACACAACCTCCAAGGGCCTCAATGCGCTGCTTTTCATCCTAAACAGCAATGCAATAGAAAGAACCAAATAATTGGCTTCAGGATTTATTCATCTACCTTAACAGTAAACAACAGATACAACACTCATCAGCTCCCTGGAAAAGTTCTCTTTATTTCTCCTTTGGAAGGTGGGTATGTTTGCTAAGATAATGGTGATAATTATAATAAGTGAATCTTAATTAATAACTAGAAAACTGCCTGTGGCACGTATCCTAATAGAACAGACCATACGTACCTCTCTGTCCGGTTTATGTGGCTTCATTAGTTCAACAGCTTGGCCCTTTCTCACAAGCATAACCTGGGAATCACCCACCCAGGCCACATGTAGCATGTTGCCTCTGATAAAAGTCACCACTCCTGTGGTCCCACATCTTAAGCTCTGAAAATAATTTAAATAAAACTACAGTCAGTAAAAATAGACATCAAATTCTCATTGAGAAGCAATTTATAGTTAATACAGACTTTTCAGTCAGGAGCTAGACTGTTAGTAACTTGATTTCACAAACAGCAATTCTCAGTGCATTTTTATGTGCATATATGTATGTGTGTGTGCACACAGAGATCCATTTGGTCTATGATATGCAAGGCAGGGATGATTATTAATTCCATTTTATATACAGGTAAGAAAACTATGGCAGGTTATGTGACTTTCCCAAGGGCAAGTAAGTGATTACTGCACGAAACGGAACTAAAATTCTTTTTCCTCCTGATCCAGTGCTAAATCCACTATATCAACCCTTAGAGTAAAGATTTCCGTATTCTGTTCTCTGTTTTGTTACTGACCTACTATATGTTCAGGGGGAGAGTCCTAGCTTTACCAGATAAGACACAAAGCATCTCATTGGTACACAACAAATGCTCCCATATCCTAGATATTAACATAGGAGCCAAGAGATAACATACATTCTCTGGAGTGCCAGGATGCTTATACCTTTAAAAAGAAAAAAACTCTACAATAATTTTAGGGACCTTTGCTTTTGGAACATTGCATAAAGAACTAACAGCATGGAATTTCACCATAATAGCTCAGTACCACTGTACTTAATGCTCTTGATACTACTATACTAAAATGACATCTCCATTTGACATGAGTCACTACCAAATGAGCATGACTTTCTGTTACTAAGGACTTGGCCTAAATTAGAACCAATGCGTCAAGGGTGGTAAAAGGCCCCTTGTATCCAAAGAGAAAAACAACTTCTCATGTTCCCTAAATAGGAAAGTTTGTTATAAATTCTCACCCACCAATAAAATGTCTTCCCACACAGACTGTTCAAAAACTCAGCCCCCTGGAACACATGATAAAGACACTGCGATGCATATGCCCTGGGGAGAACAGGAGGTAGGGCTGCTTCACAACAGGAATAGCTGCTTTCTTCCCAGCAGTTAGCAGCACATGGAAGCACAAGAAGGAGAAAAGTAACTGCTGAGACAAACCTAAATTATTCAAAAGAAATATTGGCAGAACTGAGAGACACGAAGATCCCTGGCAAAGCAAATGAGGTGAACATGGTCAGAAAAACCATAATTTTGAGGACACAGAGGATCAAGAAGACAAAATTATTCTCTTAGTTTCGTGTTGGTGCTTACAGATCACCTTTCAGGGGCCAGGTCTTGTCCTCAGTCTGAATGACAGCCGGCAGCTCTGAGGCAGGCAGGGCGAATCAGTGCCGGCCCTCCAGAGACTCTGGGAACGCCCGAGGTCAAAACTGTATTTTGTTTTCTAGCCCCACCTACATATGTAGATCCTAGTGGTTTCTGTTGTTGGATTTGCGTATTGATATAAACCTGGGGTGCGGGTGGGGAGACATTTCCCTTGCTCAATACCAAATAGTTCTGAATTATTGTTTCATTAATTCCAAGCCCCACTATTACTGTGTAGCATAACTATGAGATCAAAGAAATGCGTTAAATGATTACCATGTTCTCTTCAAGTCCATTTCAGAAAGTTAATGTTTAAGTCATAGAGCAGGAGTGTTATTTTCTGTGTTTATATAATTCTGTAATTACTTTTAAAAATTAAAAATTACTCCCATTCCATTGGCCCCAGTTAGAAATGAACAGAAAGTACTGTAGTTAATTATATGTCAATGCCCAGAATGATAATTAGATTAAAATTTTGACGTTTAGATCTCGACATAGAGTCCCTGTCATTCATTCAGAGAAAAGCTTAGGTCTGATTCACCTTAAGAAATCAGGACATGAGCTCTGACTGTTCTTCCTGTTAAAAGAAAATCAGTTCAGAGATCATCTAAGGATTCATTCTCTCCAAGTAAATTTTCCCTCAAGAGATACACAGCAAAACACTGCCAACCCATTTAGAACCCAGTGTATGGGAGTAATCCCAGCTTCCGTTTCTTTTTTAGACCATTGTTTTAATCACCACATCCAGATCTTATCAGCAAAATTCTGCTTAGAGAGATGGTCCTGGTATGAACCAGACAGGCAATGGTGGATAAGAAAGATAAAACTCACCTGCCAGGAGTGGATTGGCTTTCTAGAAAATTATAGCTCGGGAGTTTCTATACAGTACATCATAGCACCCCACTAAACCTATTCCTAAAGAGGGAATTAGTCAAGGATACAGTGTAGAAGAGAACTTTAAATAATGCCTGTCCCAAAAGAGAAAACACAAAATAGCCCTTTAACTACAGACCAAGTTGAGTTCAGCTAGTGCATTTGTGGCTAGAATTTATGAGAAAGTGGCGTACCTCCCTGGCTGCTTTCTGCACAAACCGCTCATCGGTGACCCGGAAGGCCCGGCACAGGGCCTCAGCAGGATCGTGGGGGAACATCTCCTGGCGTACTAAGTTAACATGCAGGTGAATGGAGGCATAAATGGCAGCATCCACTCCCCCATGGCCATCAAACACTGCAAAGTAAGCTTGTTCTTCCTGGTCCTGTCAACAAAAACACAAACAGTTTAAGGGAGGTATAGCATGATTCAAATGAGCCATTCCCCTGCACTGTTGCCCATCCTGCACTGCATTTGTCACCCAGAGAATGAGACTAAATGTTTCCCTTTTCTGACATGCCTGATCAACTCCTAAAATGCCTGCAATGTTAGGGCATCTGTGTTTGCACACCAGAACACTGGAACACACCATGCCCAATTAGCTCAGGCTGAATTGCCCTCTCTCTCTGTAAAAGTTGTTGTCTTGTACCATGGAAACCACCCACATACATTTGCTTCAAAATTGCTGTTACACGTTGTGAGGAGGAGGAGGAGGAAAAAGAAGGTATGAGGAAGAACTGAGCAAAGCTGTTCTGGATTGAGTATTTTTTTCAGATGAAACTATTTTAATAATAAAATTAGAAACTGAGAACAATAGGAAATAATTGACCTTCCAGCACGAGGCCAGTTACGTTAGGTTGTTTACAGAGATAGTGAAAGCATACACATACTTCTAAACTATAATGTCTCCATAAATCATTCCTGGTCACACTGAATTCTTACCATACGTAACAGAGTCTCTAAACTGGGTAGCCAAACTTGAACCACAAATGTCCAAATGCCCTGTAACCTGTTTGCCTTGTCCCCAATCCAAGACTTAGCTTAACATTTCCTTGCCCCCCCCCCCCGCCCCCCCCCCCGCTTGAAGAGCTGAGGCAACTGCCAGAGGAGAGTCTTCCAATCCTGTGCTCTGTCTTGACAAAGCAGAGTCACGAGTTTACATCTAAACCGTTAAGTAGTTTGCTGGTTCGTCTTCACCTCAAGAGTTTAAATCCCAAAATGAGTACTGCGTTAGTACAGGTAGAAATTCCACATGTCAAGACTTTTTTTCTAGAATTGTTTAATCAGTTAATCTTCAATGGCAGTATAAATGGTGTAAATTAAAGTATTTGGATGTTATCATTACTCTATGGACACTTATGTTTGGTACTTCTGTAAATGTGGTATATCAAAAAAAACCTTTTTCAAAGCAAAAATATACCTGTTGTTTTAGTAGTCCTGCCCAATCCCCATGACAGAACAACTCATCCCTTAGGAGATCTGTGACTCACTGAGCTCTCACTGGGTCCTGGGTTCCCTTTAGGCAACAGAATGGAATGACTTTCATTTGCAAAGCCTTTGACTTCTTCCTTGGGCTGTAGGAACTCAGATGAGTCCAGGCCCTGTCTTTCAAAGTAAATCAAATATACAAAGTAAATCATATAATTTTCTTGTGCTTGTTTTCTCATCTGTTAGGTGGGGATGAGTTGGCAGTAATAGCTTTATGGGAGCATAAGACTATAACTTTAAACAATGTAAGATTGCTGGGGAGATTCTTAAACAATATAGTATCAGAAGAAACAAAGGAGCCAAGTGGATCTCTTAAAAAAATTAGTACAGTTTCTTAAAAAAAATACTGTCTTCCCTGTTGTAAAGATAATGTATGTTTATTTGGACTAATAAAGAAGTGTAAATAAAGAAATAAATATCTATAATCCTATCATCCACAGATAACCAGTCTTTTTTCTATACATATAAATTTTTAAAATAAAATTAGGGTCATTTACCATATCATTAGCTTTTCCCCCATGTCATTAAGTATTACTCAAAGACATTATTTTAAATGGATATGTACTATACATCTTAAAAGCATGTTATAGTTATCATTCCCTACATGTAATGATTTAGATCATTTCCAATTTTTTATTTTTATTATTATTGACAATGTTGTATAAAACATTTGTCACACAAAACATGAATGTAAGACTTCTGCATTTCTGTTTCTTTATAATATAGAATTAAAAGTGAAATTACCAAAGGGTGTGAAAATTTACAAGGTTTTAAGTATGTGTTGCCAAATTGCCCTCTAAGTCCGTTTCACTATAGCAAGATAAGTCCTTTCTGAGTTAGACCTTAGAACTAATTTTGAAGCAAAATGAAACCCAACCAGGTCAACAAACAGCAACAGTGCTCTCAAACCCGAGTACACAGTCTTCAAGTAGGTGTCATGATAAAAGATTTGTTTATCACACAACAGCCTTTTGGGTTACATTTGCATGGGCCTGGATGGTAACATTTGGAAACAAAGATATCAGCTGATCTATCTTTGTAACATAAGCACCAATTACCAACACACCATCACTGCTTATCCCACCTTGACAGTCAGCTAAAATTTAAATTTAGCTGCTAAAGGAAGGAAATATTGAGCTTTGTATAAATTACTGCATTGTAATTTCTAAGTTACGGACTTGAGTGAAGAAAAAAGGCAAGTGACAGGCAAAGGAAACAAACCTACCTCTGTTTGCATTAACATAATACATTTAATAGAAAAAGAAGAGGAAGATAAGAAAATGGTTATTAAGTTGACAAGGCTCATATGATCCAATTTGTCAGTCACAGAGATTCATGAAAGGTAATTCCAGCTACTTTCTGATCTCAGAAACCAAGATTTAAAAAAGAAAATCACATGAAATCAGAAAACTGTTTCAGGCTCAAATTCATCCTTTTGTGTTTTGTGTTGCTTCAGCAACATAGTAACGTGGGAACTTAATAAACAAGATTTGATCATACTATAGAAATAGTTTCTTTTTAAAAAGAGCTTTATTGAGATATACCAGGGTTGTTTTTTTTTTTCTTGTATGTTTATAGAATAGCTCTGGAAGGTTACACAGGAAACTGGCAACTTCCCTTGCTTTCAAGGAGGGTAACTGAGTGTCTGAGAGACAAGGACGAGAGACAGATTTTTATTTTGCAGTTCTGAACCATGTGAACACATTAACTATTAAAAGTAACATAAAATAAATCGTTCCTTTTCTATTTTCTAATGCAAGCAAATCTGTGCCACTTTGCCTTTAGTCCTACTGCAGCCTATCAGAGTATATTATAAGTTGTCCCGTTAGAAAACAGGACCATGAGGGTTTTTTGTGTTTTTTTAATCTCATTGACTTTTCTGAAGTGCCCTTTACCTCTAGGTTGAAGAGCATATTAAAGTCAGGAATGCAGACATGTTTGTCCTCCATTTTCCTGCGCATGTTCTTGATGGCATGGATTGAGGTCTCGTAATAAAGCTGGGGTCTCCTGCGGAGAGGGAAGTCTTTCACCCAGCTGCAGCAAATCTCGTGTAGTTTGCTGAAGACAGAACGGGCCAACTTCACTGTCTCAATCTCTGTGAAAGAAACACAGAAAGAAACACAGAAACCCCCAGTGAAGAGCCTTGTAAAACAGCTTTTCACCTGCCTGCTTTGTAAAGACAGAAATAGGTCACCTTAGTCAAGCTCCTCAACAGAAGAAATTCCTCCTTCTCAAGAAAAATGAAATGTTGCTTCTGAAGAGAGAAAATGACAACCTATCTAGAAAATCATCAGCCAGCAGCTGCCACTAAGATATCCTTATGTCATGAGGAGAAAACCTCTGGCCAGGGCTGGATTTCTTCCAGCCTGTGAAGTGCACTGGCCACTGCTGTCTAGTTCTGGACACTGGGCCCTTTGTGTTGGCTGCCATGAGCATCCCTATCCTTAGAAGAATGACTGAAATACGAACAGTGGTTATCCAGCTAACTGCAATATGAAAGGCCTATGAAAACAGATCATTTCTTTATAAACCACAGGAATAAGAAGAGTTTACCCTTATTACCATTTGTCTTTGTCTCTCTCTTTCTTCCTGACCTCTTCCTGTCCCTCCCTCCAATTCCCTAACTTCTCTCCTGTAACTGATCATAATTTGGAACTAAAGTACATATTTTTGTTATTTGATGTTTTTTAATTCAAGTTTTAGGCAACAGCTTAAATAATTCAGCCAATAGATCAACAAATGAGTTAAAAGTTTTATGTTTCTTTAAGGAAAAAATTCGTTAAATTCTATGTGTGTAACCTTGGATAGAAAAGGGAGATAGCAGTCAGAGGATTCTTCACCCCAGACTATTAAGGCTACTGCTTGACCTATTAAGTGGAATAGACTAGCTGACTTCTGAGGCTGACCTGCATCCCTCAATGGATGGACAGGTGTGTAAGCCTTTTAAGCAACACTGAATAGTAGTGAAAAGATTGTCTTTCACATCGTCTCCACTCAAGTTGTCCTCTACTCAAATTGCAGCTATTGGAATAACCAAGCAGAGATGTGGTTTTCTCAGGCCAGTATTTTAGAGGTTCCTCCTACATCCCAGGTAAAGAAATTTGTAATTCTCCAAATTTTTTTTTTCACTAAGTCAGATATAGCTTGAAAGCCTGAGAAAACATGTTGCAGGTAGCCAGTGAATGTGCACGCCGTCTCCAATCTGGAACACAAATCCCAAAAAGAGACTGTTTTTTTTATGTGTTCTAGAACAGCCTGGAAACTTAGATTCCCATTTTTTATTCCTTACCTGGCCATTGCTTAATTTGTGACTACATTTACTAGTTTTCTTATTCAAAATTCTTTTCAAAATGACTATATTCAAAAGCTGATCTCTCGGGGCTGGCCCAGTGGCTGAGTGGTCAAGTTCGCGCACTCTGCTTCGCTGGCCCAAGGTTTTCGCCCGTTGAGATCCTGGGCATGGACGTGGCACTGCTCATCAGGCCATGCTGAGGCAGCATCCCACAGGCTACAACTAGAAGGACTCACAGCTGAAATATACAACTATGTACTGGGGGGATTTGGGGAGAAAAAGCAGGAGAAAAAAAAGATTGGCAACAGTTGTTAGCTCAGGTGCCAATCTTAAAAAAAAAAAAAAAAAAAAAGCTGATCTCTCAGGGGCTGGCCCGGTGGTGTAGTGGTTAAGTTTGTGTGCTCTGCTTTGGTGGACCAGGGTTCACAGGTTTGGGGTCCAGGTGTGGACGCACACCACTCATCAGGCCATGCTGTGGTGGCATCCCACATACAAAATAGAGGAAGATTGGCACAGATGTTAGATCAGCATCAGTCTTCCCAAGCAAAAAGAGGAGAATCGGCAGTGGATGTTGGCTCAGGGCTGATCTTCCTCACCAAAAAAAGAAAAAAAAAGAAAAAAACTGATCTCAGGATGTTTGTCATTTTTCTTTGCTTATCAACATAGTACAGGGTGGTAAACCATGTTTTGTAGCTTTTTCCCCCTTGACATTTTTTTTAAATAATTCAAAGTAAGTATTCAATTAAAAATAAAGCCATTTCATGTTAACATAAATATTTTTATGAAAACTGTATTTCCCCAAACAAAAATATTTGGTGAGCTCATGGCACCATTTGCCATTTTACAAATCTCTTTAAGGTCTGACTTAATAGAAGAGAGCTGTAATTTTTTTTTAATAATTGTGGGTGCTTGACATTTTTTATAACTGAAAATCAAGGGTACATTTGAAAGAGAAAAGAAATTCAAAGAACAAATACAATCTGAGGATGTGTATATAAGAGGGAAACAAGCCAATACACTTCTAGAAGAAAATGTAGGCAGTACACTCTTTGACAACAGTATTGAAAGGATCTTTTCAGACACCATGTCTTCTCAGAGAAGGGAAACAATAGAAAGAATAAACAAATGGGACTTCATCAGACTAAAGAGCTTCTTCAAGGCAAATGAAAACAGGATTGAAACAAAAAAACAACCCACCAACTGGGAAAAAATATTTGCAAGTCTTATATCTGACAAAGGCTTAATATCCATAATATATAAAGAACTCACACAACTCAACAACAAAACATCAAACAACCCAATCAAAAAATGGGCTGGAGACATGAACAGACATTTCTCCAAAGAAGATATACGGATGGCCAATAGGCACATGAAAAGATGCTCATCATCGCTGATCATCAGGGAAATGCAAATCAAAACTACACTAAGATATCACCTTACACCCATTAGAATGACAAAAATATCTAAAACTAATAGTAACAAATGTTGGAGAGGTTGTGGAGAAAAAGGAACCCTCATACACTGCTGGTGGGAATGCAAGCTGGTGTAGCCACTATGGAAAACAGTATGGAGATTCCTCAAAAAATTAAAAGTAGAACTACCATACGACCCAGCTATCCCACTACTGGTCTACCCAAAGAGCTTGAAGTCAGCAATTCCAAAAGTCTTATGCACCCCAATGTTTATTGCAGCGTTATTTACAATAGCCAAGACGTGGAAGCAACCTAAGTGCCCATCAACAGATGAGTGGACAAAGAAGATGTGGTATATATATATACAATGAAATACTACTCAGCCATAAAAAAGAACAAAATCGTCCCATTTGCAACAACATGGATGGACCTGGAGGGAACTATGTTAAGTGAAATAAGCCAGATAGAGAAGTCTGTGTCTGTGTATGATTCCACTCATATGAGGGATTTAAAAATGTAGACAAAGAGAAGAGATTAGTGGCTACCAGGGGAAAGGGGGAGTGGGGGGTGGGCACAAAGGGTGAAGTGGTGCACCTACAACACGACTGACAATAATGTACAACTGAAATTTCACAAGATTGTAACCTATCATTAACTCAATAAAAATTTGTTTTTTAAAGATTTTATTTTTTTCCTTTTTCTCCCCAAAGCTCCCCAGTACATAGTTGTATATTCTTTGTTGTGGGTCCTTCTAGTTGTGGGATGTGGGACGCTGCCTCAGTGTGGTTTGATGAGCAGTGTCATGTCCGCGCCCAGGATTCGAACCAACGAAACACTGGACCACCTGCAGCGGAGCGTGTGAACTTAACCACTCGGCCACGGGGCCAGCCCCTCAATAAAAATTTTTTTAAAAAGAGGGAAACAAGCCAATACAACCCAACATTTTGATTGTTTTGAGCAATTCCAATCTTCTGTTTTTTTGAAAAAAGACCAAAAAACACCAATTGCCAGAGACTATCTCTTTCAGCCAGCAATTACTATTTGTATCATTCCAACCCATCTGGTCTCTGCAGCAGTCTAGTCCCCCAAATGTAGGGTGTGCATTTGACTCAGTCACAACAAAAGATTGCAAAACAATAAGTAAATTCAGAAACTGAGGGAGAATGGGGTGGGGTGAAACAAATAACTGATATTAACTATCAGGATGGTTTCCAGTTCTCAAATAGTAATATAAATATAGTATTCTTTGGTTTATATATTACTCTTACTATATAGACCTGCACTGTCCAATAAGGTAGCTTACTAGCTATATGTGACTATTTAAATTAAAATTCAGTTTTTTGGTCACATTAGCTGTATTTCAAGTGCTCAATAACTACATATGGCCAGTGGCTACGACGTTGGACAATGTAGGTAGAGAACATTTCCATCATTGTGCTGTCTATTTGGACGGCACTGGTGTAGACAGATTAAATTGGTTAGAGGAAGCAATACCAGCTTCCTCTAATATTTAGTAAGCCACTGGATCTGTCCCTACCCACTCCCATTTGCTCCTTCCCTTATGTTCCCATTTCACTTTGTTGACACATCTATTATAGCTCTTACCACATTCTGTAACCATAGGTAACATTTATTGGGTATTTGCTACATTCTGTGTCTCTGGAACATTTCACAAACAGGTAAAACCATTCTCAATCCTAGGTCTGTCTGACTCTAACACCCATACTCTGCATTTCCCAAATTACACTACAGAGAGAGACTGTGTCATTAATTTAAATCCTTTTGATGTTGCTCAATAGAGTTTTAACAGAGGTCTTTCATGTTTCTTAATTCCTAGTTATTTAATTTTACTTGCTATTTTGAGTCAGAACTTTGCTTTAATGTCTTCTTTGCCACCTAGCAAATATTCCACTTTCTACTAGGAACATTTCCATCTCAGTCCATGTGCATCTGGGGGTAAAACGTGTGATTCCGGTCTAGCCAATTAGAGAATCACATTCCTCTGGCCATAGTGATTGGTTCAGGAATGGAAATAATCCAAGCTGGGCCAATTAGAGTGAATCCTGTGACTTATGTAAGAGCAACTGAGTAAAGTTACTCTTCTTTTCCTGCTTGATTTGAACCTAGCAGATGAAGACCTGGCACTCCTCGCAGTCATCTGGCCACCACATGGAGCCTGAAAATAAGTGATGAAAGTGAGTACAGCCGAGAGCTGGAGAAGCGCCAGGTTCTGATGACATCATGTGAAGCTGTGAATCCAGCTGTGTAGCCCTTACCTTGAAGGGTAGCCAAGAAATTGTTCTGCTGAAACCAGTTTGAGTTATGTTGGTTGTCACTTGGAATAAAAAAATTCTTGAGTGTGCATTAAGGGTAAATGCTAGATTTTGGCTTGAGTCAAATTTTGTTCTCCAGTGTCCAAGATGTATCCATGTAGTTCTACTTTATTAAGTATATTTTTAAAATTAGGATTGCATATTGAATTTCATCAATTGGTTTTTTGGATGTCTTTAGAAATTATCCAGGTTTTTTTCTTTTAACCTATTAATATATAAATTAGGCTAATAGACTTCCCAATATTTTTGTTTTGTTCCCTGCTGTTTCCCCAGCATAGTGCTAAACTATGGTAGGCCCTCAATAAAATACTCATCAGATGAATTAACTATTGTACTCAATATACAAATATTTTACTTAAGGTTTTTTACATTGATTAATGACTGATCTATTTCCTTTTTTAGTTTTGTCTCAGGCAAGTTTTCATATTAGTGTTATGCTATGCAAATTTTCCTTCTTTATGCAATTGGATAATTCATTTTAAAAAGTGTTGGGATTGTCTTTGATCGTTTGAAAATGTTCACCTTTGGAGTCACCTGTTCTGTCCTTTTGGGAACGTGGCTCCTTGACAATCTTCTAACTCTTTCTTCTTAGGTAAAGTTTGTTAATTTGTATTTTTCCATAAAATACACATTTTCAAATTAGTTTACACAAATTTTTCCTAATTCTTTTCATTTCTTCTGTATTAGTGATCATTTTCCCCTTTCTGTTTTTAATTTTTACATTGGAATATTTCAGATTGATTTTAGGTTGTCTGGCCAGGGGTTAAATCTGCCATACTAAACTTGTATCAACAGATATGCAAGGTCGTTTAGCAAACATTCTGTTAGGGATGACAGAAACATGAACTTTAAGTTAAGAATTTTTTTTAAGTCTGTTTTTGGAAAAAACTAAAAGGAGAGACAAAAGCCATTTCAGTGGGGACTTCAGTGCTTTTAAGGCAGTGACGGCAGGCCTTGTTCAGTATGCTCCTTTCCCACTCTGATGTATGGATAAACAATACGCCCTGCAGAGGATCTCCTCAGTGCCGTTCACACTGAGTGATTTGGTTTAAATAATTTAGATTAAGGACTTGCAAATAGTTTAGAATTATAATAGATCATTCTGAATCACAGCAATGGCATGGAAACGTTACTGGGTAAACTTTTGGAAAAATATAAAATCAGAAGGACCAATGATACCCACCAAAAGAAACACCCTTAATTTCACTTTTGCTATCTTATGGGAGTTCAGAAAATTCTTCCAAAGTAGGCATGTAGGGCAATACTACAATCCTGCTACGTTAAGTATTCTCCTGCAGGGAATAGTGTAGAACATCAGTATATAAATAATTGCTGCTTGAAATGGAAAAATAAAATAGGGCGGGAAAAAGAGAAAATTGTCCAAAGTAGCAGTCTACCCTCTCACAGCTGTAAATTACTCATCAGTCGTTAATGTCATTGTACTGAGCTGGAACTGAGTCAGCCAGCACCCTGGCTGCAGTGATGCAGAATTTAATGTCCCTCATCTTTTCATTACGGGGCTTTTACTTCATGCATCAGTACCAGAGGAAAGACCAATGCTTTGTAGCAGGAATTCCATCCAGCTTGACTCTGGAACAATTTGGTTCCAAGTGAATCAATTACTCTCAGTAAAAACAAGCAGAGGACTTTCTCCTTTGCCAGTTTTCTGTCAAAAATGATCTGGAGAAATAAAGGAAGAACGGAATGTTTACTTTTCTATCTGCCTCACATTCTTTGGAATCTAGCTACTCTGCTCCATTAATATATGCTTTGCTCGTTATGCACCATATTTAAAGGCAAATGCTTAGAATAAAGTGAAATAAAATTCCTTAACAATTTTGAGTAATAATTCCCTAATTTTTATAAAAATCAGTATTTCTGTAGAGCCTGTCAAGTACTTATAAGACTAATACATTACTAAATATGCCTTCATTAATAAGGCATCATAATTTGCCTGGAAAAAAGATGTACAATGATCCATGCAATTAAATCACAAGTTACGTAAGTCTCATAAAGAGCTCTATTTATTTATTTGTAGATATAAAACAATATAATTAATAAGTTTTGTTATAGCTGATTTCTTGAGTTTTTATGTCTGATTTTTTACTTGGATTCTTAAAGGTAAGCTAAAAATTTTAAATAGGTTTTGCTTAAACTTTATCTCTTCTTTTGTCTTCACATTTCTTCTTTCCATTTATCTAGATATTATTTATGATAATATCCTGTTATGATAATTTTTTGCTCCATTTACATTCACATATTTTCAAAATATATCTATTTTTTTCCTTTTCCCTCCTTTTATTGATTATTTTGAAAAAAATTTTTTGCATTTTTTTCTCTTGCTACCACTATAAAATCAAGCTGTGGGTAAACATAATTAGATTTAGTATTTTGCAGACATTTTCTGTGGATCACCACACATGAGAAGATTTTAATATTTTTAAACAAATAACGTAGAAAGGTACTCACCCACAGTCCCTTCTGTGCCATCTGTTTCCTTTGGTATATAATGTGCAGAAAGATCACTCTGAAGCACTTCGTCTGATGTGGCTCTAGCTAAAGCAGCAGCCAAAAAGGAAGGGCAGTTACTGAAAGAGAAAAAAAAAAGGCTATTTCAGTAAGATTTAGGAAACAACATATTTAACATTATTAATAATTATTTAATTAACATTGTCTCAAAGCAAAATTGTACCTTTAAATAATATTCAACACATTTATTGAGTGTATATTATGTGGTGGGCACTCTGCCTAGGCACTGGATATAAATTGATGAATAACATAGACATGGCCCCTGACCTAGTGGGGCTTACAATCTAGTTAGAGAGACATGATAAGTAAACAAATAGGATATAACTTAAAATTGGGATAAGTTTTATAAAGGGAACAAATAGGTGATAGAGAATGATGGGGGGTGGATACCTACTCAGAATGGTCAGGAATGCCATGCCTCAAAGGGTGAGAAAGACTTGGCTATGTGGAGGTGGGAAGCTGGGAGAGAATATTCCAGGCAGAGAAAATAGCATGTATATAGACCCTTTCTGAACGCTTGGTATGTCTGGGGAGCTGAAAGAAGCCCAGAGAAAATGAAGTACTATAGTGGGTAAGGGAAAGTGGCAGGCGATAAAGTCTTACAAACAGGCAAAGGCCAGTTACACGGGCCTTTTAGACCATGGTAAGGAATTCAGATTTTATTCAAAGTGCAGTGGGAAGTCACTCAGGACTGTGAGCAAGAGAGTGCCATAGCCAGACATATTAATTAAAATATTACATTGACAGCTGTGCCAAAGGAAATTGGAAGGGAACAAGAATGAAGGAGGGTGACCAAGAACGAGATTGTTGTAATCCAGGTGAGATGAGAAAGTATATTTTGGAGGAAAAAAAAAATATAGAACTTGATGATTATTGGATGTAGAGGTGAGAGAGAAAAAAGAATTAAGGCTGAGTCCTGGATTTTGGTCTGAGCAACTAGGAAATGGAGAAACCAGGAAAAGAAGAGATTTGTGAAAGAAAAGGTAAAGTAGAAAACAAGAGTCCATTTTAGCATGTTAAGTTGGAAATATCTGTGAGATACCCTAGTGAAGGTGTTGAATGGTGGGGGCATTAGATATTCTAGTGTGGAGCTCAGAGATGTTAGGAAATTTGGAAGTCATGAATTTATGGATGGTATTTGAAACTATGGAAATAGATCACACAGGAGAAAATATAAAAAGAATTGCTATGGACCAGTGACTTCTATGTGCCTCCTGTTTTCCCTCTTGGAATAGGAAGGGTATCTTATGCCTTGCCATTGTACGTTGGGTAATGGTAGGGAAGGGGATAGATAATTTGCCTCTTTAGTCCCCAAGTTTTCAAACCAAGTGGAACTATTCAAGGAGCTGTCGTCAAGAAATTGTACCCGAGGAATCTCACCTGCCCCTGGACCTGACCTCACTGAGATTCTGAACCTCAAGCCTGAGCCTGAGGCCATAAAATGATGAAACTTTGGAAGAATTTGGAGGGACAGGGGGAGTATATTTTGCATGTGGGAAGGATGTGAATTATGTGGTCAGAGCAGACTGTGACAATCATTTTTCTAAAAAAGGCCACAACAATATTTGTGATCCCACATGCTCTTTAAGAACTTTAACAGTCTACATAAAGAGGCAGAGCTGTTTCCTCTTTTTGAATGTGAGACTTTGATGAAAAAAAAAATGTAGCAAAAGTGATGCTCTCTGACTCCTGAGGTTCGGTCATAAAAGACTGCATGACATCCCCCTGGCTTTCTCTTCCTCTCTTCTCTCATCTTTTTCACTTCTTCTCTCTTCCTCTTGCCCCCACCCCAAGACAGGGACAGGCTCATGTGCATGTGAACTGAGGCTCCTAGTCAATAGCTGTTATAAGCTGCTTGACGTGTAATGGCACAGGCCTTCAGATGATACCAGTCCTCAGCCTGAGTCTTCCACTTAGGCTCCAGACATCATGGAACAGAGGTAAGCTGACCCTGCTTTGCCCAGTCTGAATTCCTGGCCCAAAGAAACTGTGAGCATAATAAATGATTGTTTATGCTACTAAGTTTTGTGCTAATTTGTTACACAGTCTTAGTAACTGAAAACCCAACATTTATAAGCTTGGTAGAAGATAAGGAACCTATAAATACTGAAAAGAAATAGCAGGATAAGTAAAAGGAGAACCAAGAGAGTAGAATATTTGAAGGAGGGAATGGTCAACAGTGTCAATATTGCTGAGAATCCAATCAGATAAGGGAAAAATTGGATATTGAATTTAATAACATGTAAATCATCACTGACTGGGTGCCAGGACAATTCAATGGGGAAGGAATAGTCTTTTCAACAAATGGTCCTGGGACAATTGAATGCACACATGCAAAATAATCAAGTTAGACTCTTTCCTTACACTGTAAACAAAAAAATCACTCAGAATGGATGATAGACCTAAATGTAAGAGCTATAACTATAAAAATCTTAAAAAGGAGTAAAACCTCATCACCCTGGATTAGGCAAATATGACACCAAAAATATAAGCAACAAGAGAAAAAAAGAGGTAAATTGGACAACATCAAAATTTAAAACTTTCATGCCACAAATCAAGAAAGTGAAAAGAAAACTCAGAATGGTAGGAAACATTTGCAAATAATTTATCTGATGAGGGAATATTATCCAGGGATAAATAAAGAACACTTCTGTTTCTTTTTTAAAAGATTTTATTTTTCCTTTTTCTCCCCAAAGCCCCCCAGTACATAGTTGTGTATTTTTAGTTGTGGGTCCTTCTAGTTGTGGTGCGTGGGATGCTGCCTCAGCATGGCCTGATGAGCCGTGCCATGTCCGCGCCCAGGATCCGAACGGGCGAAACCCTGGGCCGCCAAAGCGGAGCGCACGAACTTAACCACTCGGCCACGGGCCGGCCTCTAAAGAACTCTTATAAATCAATAATAAAAAGACAATCTAATTTAAAAATGGAGTAAGGATCTGAATAGGTATTTTTCCAAAGATACACAAATAGCCAATAAGCACATAAGATGTTCGACATCATTAGTCATTAGGTAAACACTAATCAAAACCACAACGTGATACCATTTCACACCCACTAGGATGATTATAATCAAAAAGACAGATTATAACAAGTGTTGGTGATGGTGAAAAAATTGGAACGCTCATGTATTTCTGATGGGAATGTAAAATGGTGCAGCTGCTTTGGCAGTTCCTTAAAATGTTAAACATAAAGTTACTATATGGCCCAGCAATTCCACTTGTAGGTGTATACCCAAGAGAAATAAAAATATCCACATAAAAACTTGTACATGAATGTTCATAGCAGCATTATTCATAATAGCCAAAAAGTAAAAACAACCAAATGTCCATCAACTGACTATGGATAAATGAAAGGCAGTATATTCATACAATGGAATATTATTCAGCCATAAAAGAAATGAAATATTCATACATGCCACATCGTAGATAAACCTTGAAAACATCATGCTAAGTGAAGAAGCCAGTCACAAAAGACCACATTATTGTATGATTCCATTTATATGAAAAGTCCAGAATAGGTAGATCTATAAAAACAGAGTATTGGCAGCCTAGGGCTGAGGGGTGAGGTGAGTAGGCAGTAACTGCTAATGGGTAGGGGGTTTCTTTTGGGGATGATGAAATGTTCTAAATCTCAGATTGTAGTGATGATTAAACAATTCTGAATATACTAAAACCAATGAATTGTATACTTTGGGTAACTTTTATGGTATGTGAATTATATCTCAATAAAGATATTAAAGAAATCATTGACTTTGTCATGAACTACTGAATAGTGGAGGTGAAAATCAGATTAGAATGGGTTAGTGAGTGGGAAGCAAGGAGGTGTGGCAGTGGAGGGAAAGAGAAATGGGGCATAACTGAAAAAGGATGTGGGGACAGGGAAAGTTTGTTGTTTCAGAATGGGGTAGAATCTGACTGTATACTAAAGAATGATCAGTAGAGAAAGACTGATAATGCAGGAGAGAGGGGATGACCAAAGGAGCAGTTCTTGAGAAGGCAAGAAGGGATGAGATCCAATCCATGTATGGAAATACTGACCTTTGATAGGATGAGGCACATTTCCTTAATTAGAAAAGGAAGGAAGAAAATGGGTACAGATGCAGGTAGGTTTCTAGATTTCTTAGTAGGAAAATAAGGGAGTTCTCATCTAATGGTTTGATTCCACAATAACTTACTGAGGCTTACAGTGTTCCAGGCACTATTCTAGCACTCAGGACATATATGACCAAAAAACACAAAAACCCCTGCCTTTGGGGGTTACATTCTGGAGAATGGCTTCTCAATGAAACATGAAGCTAGATCAGTAGTTCTCAAACTTTTGTGTGCATTAGAATTACCCACAGGACTTGTTAAAAGAGGTCACTGGGGCGCCGGCCCCGTGGCCGAGTGGTTAAGTTTGCGCCCTCCAATTTGGCAGCCCAGGGTTTCACCGGTTCGGATCCCGGGTGCAGACATGGCACTGCTCATCAGGCCATACTGAGGTGGCATCCCACATGGCACAACCAGAAGGACCTGCAATTAGTATATACAACTATGTACTGGGGGGCTTTAGGGAGAAGAAGAAGAGGAAGAAGAAAAAGAAGATTGGCAACAGATGTTAACTCAGGTGCCAATCTTTGGAAAAAAAAGAGATTGCTGGGTTCCCAGCTCGAGAGTTTCTGATTCAATAGGCCTGGAGTAGGGCCTGAGAATTTTCTGACAAGTTCCCAGATGATGGGACCACACTTTGAGAACCACTGGATTAGATGATCAACTGGGTGGAGAGGTAGAAAGCACATGGGGGAGAAGGGATGAAGAGAAAGGAGAAATGGAATAGTCATATCAGAGAGTAGTAGGACTGTCAGAGCTGAGAGATGATTGGAAGTTTGGGACAATTTTTAAATGAAACCAGTCTTTCTGATTATACGTACAATTATCTCCATCTACATTCATGTGATGGAAGATGTGTAGGCAAAAAAAGAATTGTTTAGTTCATCAAGATTTGGAGTTTTGCAAGGTGAGTACTATAAAGTGAAGTAGAGACATGGGAGTTGGGTATCTTCTAAAGGATGTGATTACAA